AAACATTATCGATACTTTTTATACGATTTATAGTTATATTTGACTATATATTATTATATTTTCAAAAATATTATATTTTAGTATATGTCAAATAGTATTTTTATTGATTTTTGAAGGATTATATTTAATTATTTATAATAATGAAGACTAAAATATGATATATTAAATTTTAAATTTTTTTTAAAACAACCGTTGGAGAATTATTCCTTTACTTAAGGTAGATTCCTACTTTAAAATTAAAGATTGTTAGAGATGCTTTAAATAATTAAAATTTTGAAAAAATCAGAAAACAAGAAAGAGTGTCAGAGAAGTTGTTGCATAACAACTTCAGAGAACCTCTTTAGAAAGTTTTAGTACATATGTCATTTTTAATTGACAAACCTTTTGTACAATATACAAACTAGATAAAAACTAAATCGCTATCAAAAACTAATATTTTTATTACTAAAAAGTTGATGTAGGTAATTCCTTTTTTTGTTTGGACGATGTAGGTATTTCCACAATAGAGTTTTTAGAAGATCTACAATGAAAATCCTTGAATCTTCCTCTAATTTTTTTTTTCAGCTTTTTAATTCACGAGACCCTTTCATCAATCTATCATCTCAAATACTAGCGCCGGACACTAGAGGTGACGTTATGAAAGCGCATGGGCATGTGAAGAGAAACTTAATCATAAATGGATCTTTGACTTTGAGCACATACAACAAAAACAACATTTTGGTGAGTTCTTCCAAATTTTTTGTTATAATAAAATTTTCAGTTCTTTTTAATATAAAAATTTAAACATTTGTCTTTACTGTCAATATATCATATTAATATAGAGTATTTTACTATTTTATAAGGGAGATTTCGAACCAGGTTTATTATACACTCGTGCACTACAGATTCGCTGGAATCTCTCATATATATATACTAGGGGAAGCCCGCGCTCCGCGCGGGATTTGATATATTTCAACAAAAAAACAATTTAAAGTTTATTTGTAAATGTATTGAAAAACTAAAATAATGTTTAGATAACGATATATTACATTTTTTAAAAAAAAAATTAGAGTATAAAATTTCTTTTAATTATTTTATTAATTTTTTGTTCAAAATATTAAGAATATTTTATTTACAATATTATATATTAGTTAAATTTAATAAATTTAAATTACAGCTATTTTTATTGGGAATATTTGATAGATTTTATGTGTGTTGAAGCCATATGATAGAATACAAAAATATTAAATACTAAATAAAATTGGAGATTCAGTATACAGTACAATAAAAAGATAAAAATGTTTTGCTTCTGTTTAGACCAATATCATCGAAGTGATGCTTTATAATCGAACACAAAAAAAAAGTTTACTTTGCTTATCCTTGGCTGAATATATTTTACAAAGACATATTTTAATCTTATATACATATATACGAATTTTATTTTACATATGCACCAAGAAAAAAAAACTCATACACAAATTCAATAACTTGTGTGATATTTGTAAGCCTGAAATACAGCTTCTTTGAGAAGATTTAGTAACAAAAATAGTTTGATTTTAATTTTGTCCTTGACTATAAAGTAATGATATAAATAATTCATGTATATATATTTCAAATTTGATTTATGTATATTTAATATTTTTAGAAATTTATAAATTTGATTCAAAACACAGAAAGCTACTTTTTGTAAGTTTCAGTTCACATGATATTTAACTATACATTTGACGTCCTATGAAATTATGTTTTTACTTTGTGAATCTTTTGATGTTTTAAAGTGAACTCACTGCATGAGAAACTGATGTTGCACTATAATTTAAAAAAAAAACAGTAGCACACTAAACCAAATTAAAACAAACCTCTAAAATCAAAATATACTTAACTTCTTTGTACAACAAATGTTTTGTTCTTCTGTGAAATAAAAATTTTGGAACTTTTTTATCAGAGTTGAATCATAAGCTGTAAGTACCCGTTTTTCTATAGTGACACATTCTATTGTTTTTGGAATGTGCTTATGTTTATCCATTGTTTTAACAGGACGGTCCAACCAAGCATCTTCCAAAACTAACACTTGGCTAAATTCACATTAATATCTGATACTGTGTAGTTCAAAAGCCACTTTAAGAGACCGTTCCCAACGCTCCATCGTTTACAAAAAATATCAAGCCTTTCAGTTCAATAGCAAGAACTGGTGCATTCTTCAGGATCTCTACTGAAACAGAATAACTCTGGACCGGTGCAAATCTTGCAGAGATCTGCATTATTTATAATAAAAAAAGCAGCTGGAGATTACATTGCCATGGTGATTATAATAAGCTTTGGTAATAAAAACTTTGATCGTCTCTTTTACAAAAAAAAAATAGTGTAGAAGATAAAAAAAAATAGAGTAGAATATCTCCATTCTCTGAAAATAGGCACATTGCTATATCTGTTCTACCTTTTAACAAAAGAAAATATTCAAAAGTAGAGAACAAAGTTGATAGAACAAAAAAATTCGTGGACTCTAAATTGAAGAAACCAAGGATTCACTTTTGATCATGTTTCCACAGCATCAGATACGTCATAAGAGCCTTCTAAAACAACTGCTCGAGCCTTTTTAAGAGCTACAGGAGAGAAACAACAAAAGTTCACAATATTGCTACAGAGATCTAGAAGAAATGATCATTAGTTAAATAGAAATTAAGACTCACACGGTTAAGATAACCAAGGCAAGAGTGACAATGTTGTTGCGGAGAAGTGCAAAACAAATGAGTACCCCAACTCCAATCCAATACCAGTTGTCGTGTTTGTGGGAAAACTTCGTAGCTTGAGAAAGTTGAATCCAATTGTAGTATTTGATATAGCTGATGGCTGCTTGATGTGCAAGAAAAGTGTATAGTTAAGCATTGTATATACTCTAATATTAATAACTTAGATATGAGATTATTCAAGACACCTCCATCCACCTCGTGGCTGTGAATTCATTAACCTCAATGGCACGTGTCCATATGATGAAGGTGATATCCAAAAACCCCAAGTCCACCAAGGTTTAATATCATCTATCAAAAACTGTTAAGGTTTTAGTATAACAATTTATTATTAATTATGTATGAGGTAAAGTAGTAATAAATAACCTTTTGGAATAAAGAATCCAGCAAGCAAGAACACTGCTAAGATTGATGAAGATGGTCCCTATGCAGACCATCCGATCCCGTATCCAGTTCCTCAAGATAGCTGTGCTGAGTCTCGTGTTCTGTTTGTCGGTGGTTTTTGGGAACATCTTGCTGAGGTTTCTCCCTGTGTCGTTTAACCACGCGATTGGGGCGACGATGCCGTTTTTTACGGCTGTTTTTTGCGTATTAGCAATGACCATGTCCCTTGCTACAGAGGCCAGCATAAATGCGAAATATACACAACAATCATGAATCTTTCCGGAACGATGTGGAAAATGTTTGAAACGGAATCAAGGAGTTTATAAAAAGTGTAGAATCTACGACTTGTAAAAAAAACTGGTTACGTATTAACCGATGTGCTATCTCCTTTTATAATCAACCGGCAGAGCTGGAAAATACTTGACACAAAACATATTTCTAAAGTTTTTTTTTTGGAAAATCGATTCTCCACGGTGAGAATGTGTAAATCGTTCAACCGGTGAAATAACTATAGTTAAGAACATAAGGCGGAGCTTAAGAACATACCTGAGAATCCAGCAACAGCATGTCGATTTCCATGAGCTTTCCATCACGGCGAACATTTGGCTTCCCAGAACGGAAGCAAACGGACTTGAACATTGGCGGTGGAGCGGCCAGTCTACAAATCAGAGAGGAAGACCGACACGTTAGCATTGTTTAGAACGAAAGAGAGAATGATTATCAACGTCATAGCGCTCACCTTTTTATAGTACATAACCACCGCCTTGCGAATTTACAGCCTGCATTGAATACATATCGTGTGTGGAGGTTTAATGGAGGGTCTTAACAGAATCTTTCTGTAACTGGTACCTCTCGGGAGGCGCTGAAGAAGACGAAACATCTCGTCTGAAGTTATCGCGAAGAGCTATGGAGAGGCGACGATGAAACCCTCTGCAACCCTAGCATAATACGGCGCGTTTCAACTCATGTATCTACCTAACGGGCTAAGGGAAATAAATAGACAACAGGCCTTTGCGATATAAGCCCAAAACGGATTGTAAGGTGGACGAAACAAACTAAACGCGGCGTTGTTTATTGTCTTGCCACGTGGCAACTCCAGATTCCATGAATTGATGACGTGGCTTTACCATGAGAGAGTGAACTTTAGTTTATATATATAGATATCTTTCCTGAACAAACAAATCGTAATCTTAAATTAAGACGTACGGTGGAGTGTCCCGGTCTTACTTACTTGATATTCCTTCCGTATACAACTGTATAATGTTCTACTTTTATCTTATGTATAAAAATTTGATGTTTATAATATAATTAAAGCATTTATATTTAAAACGAAAATATATATATAAAAAATGCGAGTTATGAAATATTATTGATAAATTATTCAAAAGATAGATTTATTATTTCTTTAATTATATGTGAGAAACTTTAAACATCATATATTTATATATGGAGTATATATATTTATATGTGGAGTATATAATTAGCTATTATTGTTATCGATCGAGTTGGCAAATGCCAAATATACAATTTGTCTGTATCTATGATCCTGTCACTATTTGTTGACTACTGAACCGATTATTGACGTGGAAGGAGCTTCATTAATTGGACCGCATATATTCATATATTTCATACAGATTACCATTTAGTCAAGCCATAATCACCAAACCTCATAATTAATCATGTCTTATTAGATATATGTAACTGTGACGCAAAATCTGTGTGCAGTGACAGTCATCCAGTACTTGGCCTTGATCAGTTCGGGTACTTTACGTGTGAATGGTTTGTAGAAAACAATTTACCAAAAGAGATGATCAACTTGAAAATTGGTCGGACGTTTTACCAAAATCTAGATAGTCAATACTATGAAAATATTCTACCAAAATTGTTCATATGGTATGGGTGACGCTTCAAAGCTGAATGCATGTAAAAGGACTACTCAAAATTCACAATAATTTTTTTTTTGAGAAAGGCATTTCACAATAAAATACAACACAAACATATAGAGAAAATATAATTCACTAGTAACCAAGATCATAATTACACGAATTTATAGAGTATGCATCATAATTTACGAGAAACAAAGATCACAAATTAAGAAATATATATAGAGAAAACAGACGGTTGTTCACGATATTGATTATATATACCGCTGCTGTGTTTATTTTCAGCCATATATATATGGCTACGGATCTTCGTTTCTAGAGACCACATAGAGAAGAAATATGACGAAGAAGTTGGACTCTTGCTTGGAGTAGCAAAATGTGATCAGCCGTGAGACGATAAAGTGTGTTACCGTCAACTTCACCAGGAAAAATCGTTTCCGGAGCAACCATCCGCCTGAGACGGGTCATGAGCTTCCTAGAGCTCAGATCAACTACTACTCTCTTCCTTCTCCTAACTTGAAGCGCTCTACACCTCATCCTTTTGCACACGAACGGTATATCGTAACAAACTCTAGAGAGAGTGTATGTGTGTGATAATTAGAGAATTGATATATGTGGATCAAACAAGAGACTATGTGCTTTTATAGATAAGTTGGATGAAGACATGAATAACTCGTATAACTCTTTTTCTACAAAAAGACATGAATAGCTCTCTCACGCTTGATATACGATCAGCCCACACGTGTGAGGGACCATAGTAATGGATTTATATATAGTAATTATTTTATCTCCTATATGATTTACGTAAAAACTTGATGGAAATTCATCATGGTATGTTCAGACACGATTACTGTAATGCAGCATTATTATCTCGAGGAACAAAAATCAAACCTTGATTAGCTAGGGCATTGGCTGATCATATCTCTCAGTTTTAAAACTATTTTCTCAGTAAAGATATCAAACTATGCATGTTAGCTGAAGTTCATGTTTTCTCATTGTTGTTGAATGGGTAATTAAATATTGTAAAGAAAAGTAGTATGTTTAATAGAGGCTATATATGAAGCTGATAATTCTTTTTTTTTTCTTTTGCATGTGAACTCTAGAACCATGTTTTTCTAGTAATACTTTTCGATCTTCAAAATTATTTTTTGATATCGGCATCGTCTTGTGTTTTTTGATAAAGAAGCTAGATGATGTTGTGTCTTGTAAACATGTGAGTGCTGATTGAATAAGCTGTTGCTCTTTAATCAAATACTACTAATATATGGAATAATTAATGGGGTAATTAATTGGTCATGCATATACGACAAAGAACACAACTATACTGACCAAAACCCATCCATAAGTGGATAGCTGAATTCGGAAGACTATGAGTCGGTCCACGTTCTAAGCTTTGCCTCCACAGGGCAACCAACAAATAATTCTAATACTTACAAAAAATGTATCACATTATTGTTGATTACTATTTCAACAACAAACTACGTTGTATGGGTACATTTCTCATCAGAATAGTATCGTACCTATAGTAAAGACTGTAGAACACTAGTCAATAGCGACCAACGGATAAGGATGTGGACTTATAATGCAATTATATGAATTTATTTCCTTTGTACGAACCCTAGTGGTATATCTATGATTATATATGAAATTGACATGACACCATGTAAAATATGTAATTTAGATTGTGAACAGATCAGCAACGAGTGGCTGCACTAATCTTCCAATCAATCGCCAGTATGTTCGTAGTAGTGGAACCAAGCTTAAATGTGTAGTTAGTTTATTTACAAACGCTATTGAGCTCTATCATGCGCAAATGCAAATCTTATAATCTCAGCTTAACTTTAAAACTAATTTGGTTGTGAAATAATTGTAAACTTTCACAAACCAACTTTAAAAGGTAAGCTGTGCTTGTAGACAAGAAGTCTTCAAAATATTTGTAGTGATTTACATTTAAAATAAAAACTTAGAAAACAGTTACCAATGGACAATACAAAATTTCTGACTAAGTCGATAGATGCATAGAAAATAACATTATTAATAGTGGCAATATTTTTAAAAAAAACAGCTATATCTGTAATTAAACAGAGTGTGGGTGAAGTGGTGAACTGAAGCCCATGCATGCATGTCTCTTTTACATATAAAAATATAAAAAGACACATTACGTCTTTTTCTTCGCTGAGTTGTTTTCTCGCTCTCTTGCTCATTCACATTCATAATAATACTTACAAACGTAATTATATATGAGATTACGATTTGATGACAAAAAAAAAACGCAAAAAAAGAAAATGAGATTACGATTTTGTGAGTGTCCACATACACGTGTGTCTAGATCTCCATAGTCCCAATAATACAATGGGTCTCCGTTTTTCTCGGGGAGTCATGTGCATGCTCCAATACGTTTGTGTCATATAATAGGCGTATCCCATTTGTGTGTTGATAAAATGTCCATACGTCTCATAATAATCGTCCTATCTTTTTCAGATTCCGATTACTATGTCTACTAGTTTTGCATTATTTCGAAACTAGACTAGGGACTTTGTAACATTGACAGATATGATGTACTTTGTTTCCGATTGCAATAATGAAATGATGTATCGTCCAGAGCTTTCTCGCAACGCGCATACATATCGTCGAAAAAATTGCTTGCATGCGCGTGGGGAGTTGACAGATGAGAAGGGTCTGCGATGTGGGACACAGAAAGTGAATGAACCTCACGTGCACACGATTACTACTTGCAAGTTTGTAACACCTTTCCCTCTCTTCTTCTCTCAAGCTTCAGTCCTTTTTCATCATTTTCACAAATCAATTCTCCTCTCCAGCTTCAGTGCTTTTCACCATTTTTCACAAATTAATTCTGGATTCTACTATTTTTGTTTCAATTCTACTTTTTTTTTTCTTTTTTATGCAAAAAAAAAAACTAATTTTTTTTGTAAACAATTTATCATTTCTGTTTCTTCAACAAATCTTTTTTCAAGAAATAACAATCCTTATCTTCATACTGTAAGTTCCAGTAGGTATCTACTATTGGGTAGGTCATATTAGACCAAACTTCAAAATTTAATTATACAAAATCTAAGTACTTCTTTAAAAAATCAAACTTCCAGTAGTGGTTTTGCCAAAAAAAAAGATGTTATCGAGCTATTGCTGAACTGTAACAGTTATCTAGACATACAACTACTCTTCAACGACCGGACATGTAACATGGCATGACGTTCAGACAGACACATCTTTGTCATCCTCATTCATACATCATATCCTAAAAGCTTATCAACAAGAAACCCGTTCCAGTCACACAATAAACCCTATTCTACTTCTCTAGGAACGCTTGTAATTATTGTATATGATAAATTAGATACATATTTTACATTATCATTCCTACATTAACTTCACTCAATTAAAACTCTCCTTGTCCTTGGACGTGGCTTCACTAATTTTTCTCTCTGTCATATAACAAAAAAAAAACAAAACCATTTAGTCTATTTTAGTAGCAACAAAACAAGTCCACGAATTTTACAAACAGCATATCAAGTTTGTAGTCGATGAACTCTTATCCCTTTCTAAGATTATAGAAGGCATGAGTCTCTGCCTTCAGAACATATCATATTATTCAGTATTGGAAAATTTATACTAGACATCTCTGTGGTAGATATAATTGGACTATGAGTGTTACTAGTTAGTCTTAAACATTAGTCCTATGTTTAAGAACCCATTAGCAAGTTTCATTTTTATAAAATGATTGGGGAAAAAAAAATCAATATACCTTGAAGGGGAGAAAAGGGTGGTGAAATATTTGTATCACCGGTTCGATGTCTATTCGGAGAGCTGATCCTTCTGTTAGGCAATGTGTGTTGTGCACTGTCTGACTCTGACCTGAGCTGATACCTATAGCTGTTGTTATCTTCCCTCATGGTTGCAATACTCTTTGATACTTCCATCGTAACCGAGTTTGTGATTTGCAGTTTTCCTGCTTTGAAAGCTATCTTAAACCCAATATAGAGACTAAGATTACTCTGATTTAAACTAGTTAAAATTCACCTATATATCTACAGGGAGAGAAGATGGGTTAGGGTTGAAAAATCTCTCACCTCTAAGAGAAGAACCAAGCTTCGGAACTGAGATCATTGGTCTGTACATATGATAGTCAGATTTGAGATACTCCTTCACTTTCTCCGACAGTCTTGTCTTGTTTTGTTTCACCTTCTCCATCCCCAATGCCTCAAGTCCTAACATCCCAAGATTAACACCAAATATGTCCTAACGCATCTAAGCACATCAAGAACCATCTTTTTTTTTTCTTTTGAAATTAAATACAAACCCAAGAACCATCTTACATTACCTGCCACAGGTAAGTCGTCTCCCTTCGATGATTCTGACGGCGGAGGCATTTGTATCTGCGGAGAGAACGGTGGATCACTGGAATTGGAAAACAACAGAGGAGCGAACAAGTATGCATCTGATTTGAGGTAGGTGACGATACTCCTGATAAGCCTTTTGCCTGTTCTCTTCTTGTGTTTATTTCGCGCGCTCAAAGGAGTTCTCTTCGCTCGTTCCATATTAACTCGAGTACTCAACTTCTTCTTGTGCTTCAAACAAATAATGATGGACGTAAAGATATCACCGACAAAGACGGAGAGAGGAAGAGGAAGAGGAAGAGGAAGAAGAAGAAGAAGAGGGTTTGGAGGAAGGGTTTAAACACGCCGTATGGACGTATGGTCACACGCGTCACCATGGTCTCACTCTCACGGTATCTTGACAGGTAGACGCTGATCGAACTGACATGTGTTTTTGGAAACTTTCTGGTTCTGTTAATACCTTTATGGGCCTATTCCATATTTTAAGCCCATAAAAGTTTTAAATGCTAAAGCCCATGATAGAAATAAATTAAATTGGTTCGAAAGCGGATAATGTATGCATGGAAGCTGGAAGGAGTATGTATTCGTTGCAGGAGCAAGCCGGGAAGTAGCAAGTGGACAAAAGGGGAGAGCATGTTGGATCGTCTTCGTTGGGTCCAAGTCTGAGCCGTTTGAAAAGGCCCATGCTCTACTATGTACACATCAACACCTCTCCTCGATTTGTATACCTAGTTGTATATATTACACAACATACAGTAGAACCTCTATAAATTAATACTCGATAAATTAATAATCTCTCTAAATTAATAAATTTTGCCGGTCCCAACTTGGGCCGGTTCAAAATTTGACAGAAATCGATAAAATAATAAGATAATAATTTTTAGAAAATTCTATGTAAATATATGGTCCCATTAAAATTATAAATTAATAATTTATATTTATACATATTTTATATAAGTAAAAACCTATTATTATATTTTTTGTTTTATATTTACAATGGAATTATCTTTATATTTTCTTGACACTTAATATATTATTGATGAGATTTAGTAATAGTATATCTAAACCCATATTTAAATTCTATGAAATATATATTATATACACCAAATAATATAAGAAATTTAATATAAATGTCAAATTTCAAAAAATGATAATAAATATCTATACACTAAAATCAAATATTTTTCTTATTTTAGAATAAATATATCTTAAAATCAAAATTCTAAATAAGGAAACTTTGGTAAATTAATATCTCTATAAATTAATAAAATTTCAAAGTCCCAACATTATTAATTTATAGAGGTTTAACTGTAGGTCTAATCTCTAGATTTAAGGAATGAATCATTTGTTTTTCAAGATTAATATGAAAGCGGATAATGTATGCATGGAAGCTGGAAGGAGTATGTTTTTCAATATAACTTGATAACCAGTTAATAATCTGCTTAAAGGATAATAATTGGCACTAATCATTCATATGACATACCGATTTTTTTTTTCAATCTTAAGGGAAAATGAGTGTTGACAAAAACATAAATATGCTTGATGACATTAAAAATATTAAAAATTAATTTCTGTTAATAATTTAGAAACTACTTTGTTTCTAAACATTTTTAAAATAGTAGTCTAAACTTAGGAAAAGTTAAATTTAAGTCCTTTCAAATATGTTTTTTTGGTCATCATCGAAAAATTCAAAAACATCAAACATTTAAACTAAACAAACCAAAATAAATATAGATTTAGAATGATAATTATATTTTAAGACATTAAAAAACAACGTAAAACTGAACCAATATCTATGCTAAGCAGACATAATATCATTTTTATCTTAAAAATAACAGAAGTAATAATCTCATTATGCGTAAGGCGCGGGTTATTACCTAGTTAATTTATGAAAATACTAATGTGCATTTCTCGTTTTTCCATTATAGTGTTGTTGATGTTCTATTGGCATTTTTAGTGTGGTTATATCAGATTTGAAGCTTTTAATCAAAATGGAAAAGTTCCAAATGTTTCTCCAACCTTTTTTGTTTGAGCAAACCTAAATAAACTCCAAATTAAATGCTCCAAGGAAAAACATCTACTACTACTACTAGTATTCACCAAACTAAAAATGTTGATACCAAATTTGCATTAGCTTATGAATGTAGTAGAGCATCTCCAAAAGGAACTCTATAACTTCAAATATAGAGTTTCTTGCTCTCCAAAAAGAAACCTCAAAACTTCAAATTTGAAGTTTTTAAGAGTGAAACTCTATATTTGAAGTTTCAATACTCAAAACTCTAAATTTGAAGTTTCATCTTTTTTATTGCATTTTGGTCTTTACAATTACAAATAAAAATTAGAATTCATAAATACTTTTTTTGTTTATTATTTTAATCCATAAAAAATTTTAAATCTTATAAATATTTCAAATTAAGCTTTACCTTTTATAAATTTAAATTTTAGACGTAAAACTAAATAAATATTTATAATAAAATTTAAAATAGTTGTTTGTAGTTTAGTATTTTAAAATATTTTAAAATACTAAACTTAGACAACAAAAATGTGGTATTTTATTTGTAATAATCATGTATTTGTATTTCTAATTTTATATTTTAGTGTAAGATTTTATTAATTAATATTGTTGTATAAATTATATATATGTGTATGTTATTTATCAATGTTTTATGAATTTATATTAACTATGAAAAATATAAGGATCAAAATGTAAAATAGAAATAAATCTGAAGTTAAATTTGAAGTTTTTCTTTTGGAGAAGAACAACTTGAAACTTCAAATATAGAGTTTTGGAAAAATCTGTTAATACAGTCAACTCCCTCAACTTGGCTATAAATCTGTAATAGTTTTTTTTCAGACGAAAAATGATTTAGTTTTTTTTTCAGAGAATAAATGATTTAGTTTTTTTTTTTCAATTTCAGACTTAAAGAAAACGATTTTGCTCAGCAATATTTATTTTTTTAAAAAAAAAATTGAATGTCGTTATAGAGATAAAGACCAATTTTGGGTCCTAGTTGGCCATCCTAGTTTCAATGCTTATGTAGGTAAGTAGAGCTAGTCTCTCTCTCTCCACAAACAGAGCTACATCTTTTTCTCAGGATTGCTTGCAACGGGAGAAATCTTTAAGGTTATAAACCAAGAAGAGAGAGGAGGTAACCATAAGGATTTGACTTTTGAGAGAAGAAGAAGAATGGTAACTCTATCAGCTTGGCCTTGGGGAAACTTCGGCAATCTAAAGGTTTGTTTTTTTCTCTTAACAAACTTTTATCTGAGTCTTAAAGTGTTTGGTTTCTCTCCTGACTCTTACATGGGTTTTGTGTGTGTTTCTCTGTCTGTGAAGTATCTTCTGTACGCTCCATTAGCTGCACAAGTAGTGTATTCAATAGCATACGAAGAAGATTACACGAGGGCTTTTTGGTGTCTCAATATCCTCATCATCTGTGGACTCAAAGGACTCGTTCATGTCCTTTGGAGCACTTACAACAACATGCTTTTCTTGACTCGCACGCTAAGGATTAACCCTAAAGGCGTTGATTTCAAACAGATTGATCACGAATGGCACTGGTAAATCAAACTTTTTTTTATTTGTTTCTCTGTTATTCGTATAGTTTTAATCTGTAAGTTTTATTCCAGGGATAATTACATACTCTTGCAAGCAATATTAGCTAGCATTATCTGTTACATGTCTCCTACACGCCAGCTAGGTCAGATTGGAGCAACATTTTATGAGAACACAATGATGATGATGAACAATACTATTCCTCTGTGGAACACAAAAGGATTCATCGTGTTGCTTGTGCTACACGTTACTTTCTCAGAGCCTTTATACTACTTTTTCCATAGATCTTCTCATCGTAATAACTACTTCTTCACGCGTTACCACTCTTTCCACCACTCATCTCCTGTTCCAAATCCCATGACCGGTAATTTTTCACTAATTAATACTACATCCTTTTAGCAAAGATAAAAAAAATTAGAAAAAAAAATCGTTTCACAAAAAACAGTGTTTTCTAAAAAAATTCTACTACTAATAATAGTAAAATTGTAAAACTTAATAGTATTATTGAGTTTATTGCATTACTATTGGCTTACATTTATTGAAAAATAATAATTAATGTGTTTTATAATGTGTCAACAAATAAAATAAAAAATCATCTTTGTAGAAGAGATTGAGTAAATTTTATTCTTGTTTGATGTAATAACAATATTTGATATGTTGGATGCAGCTAATAATGCAACGTTATTGGAAAGTCTTATCCTCTGTGTAGTAGCTGGAGTTCCTTTGATTGGTTCTTGCTTGTTAGGCGTTGGATCAATAAGCTTGATCTACGTATACGCTATTATGTTCGACTTCCTAAGATGTTTAGGACATTGTAACGTTGAGATCTTCTCTCACAAGCTGTTCGAGACTCTACCAATCTTACAATATCTCATCTACACTCCAACGTAACGTTTGTCTTACACTTTCTGCATAATATTCACATGGCATTTATTGAATTAGGAACACATGAACATGGCTTTGTCATATTTTTTACTTCAAGAAGCAAATTAGCCTAAGATATGCTGGCAAAGATGTGTATTGAAAGTAACTTGTGGTTTTGACGTTTCTAGGTGCATCTATAATGATTTTAGTTACTTGTGATGATGATTAAAATGTTATTGTTGGAATTATGCAGGTACCATAGTCTGCATCATCAAGACATGGAGACCAACTTTTGTCTGTTCATGCCTATCTTTGATGTTTTAGGCAACACACTAAACCCAAACTCGTGGGAACTCCAGAAAAAGATCCGTTTAGCTGCAGGTAAAATAGAGAAACCACTCCACGAGGTTTCATATATAACCAAAGATTGTTTGAACAAAAAAAATATATATAGTCAAAGATTTTACACATAAAGCTATTACAAGACTAGTTGAATAAACTTTAGTTTCTGCTATAACTTAAGATGTGAATACAAACAATTTTAAGACAATTTAGGCCATGATTATCCCGGGTTTCTAAAAGCGATTTTCTTAGGGGAAAGACGTTATTACCCTTTCTTTGACCTCAAAAATTGTAGTTTGTTTAGCTAAATTGATCTCTGTGTAAGTACAGGGAAACCGCAGAGAGTGCCAGAGTTTGTGTTCTTGGCTCATGGGGTAGATGTAATGTCAGCGATGCACGCACCATTTTTGTTCAGATCGTTCGCTTCAATGCCATACACGACGAGGCTTTTCTTGCTGCCGATGTGGCCCTTCACGTTCATGGTAATGCTGGGTATGTGGGTTTGGTCAAAAGCATTTCTTTACAGCTTCTATACCCTCAGGAACAATCTTTGTCAGAATTGGGCCGTTCCTAGACTTGGCTTCCACGTAACGCTTCTATCTCTTTTACTTTCATTAATCACCTTAAAAACAGAGAGAACAGAGTGTATTATAGTCTTTTTTTCCTTCTCTCGCAGTACTTCTTACCGTTTGCTAAACAAGGCATTAATAATCTTATCGAAGATGCGATTCTGAGAGCTGATAAGCTTGGTGTTAGAGTCATAAGCTTGGCTGCTCTAAACAAGGTTTGTGTCAGAAGCAAAATCTCAAAAGGGCTATCACTTTTTGAGTAAGTGAGTCAAGTTATTAAAAGGGTTAGTTTTGTTTTGGTTTTTTTGCTTAGAATGAAGCTTTAAATGGTGGTGGAACGTTATTTGTTAACAAGCACCCTGACCTTAGAGTTCGTGTGGTCCACGGCAACACTTTAACCGCAGCAGTGATTCTCAATGAAGTTTCAAAAGATGTGAAAGAGGTTTTCTTGACAGGAGCCACTTCTAAGCTAGGAAGAGCCATCGCTCTTTACCTCTGTCGTCGTGGAGTGAAAGTTCTCGTAAGTGTACTTACTAATCCTTAACCGAACTATTATTGTCCCAAAGTCTTGACAGATGTTGGAACAAATTGACAGATGCTGACATTATCAGTGGAGAGGTTCCAAAAGATTCAGAAAGAAGCTCCTGCTGAGTTCCAGAACTATCTCGTACAAGTGACCAAATACAACGCTGCTCAACACTGCAAGGTACTGTGTTTGATTTCTAAGTGGTTTTCATTTCTTGAGTATATGAGACTTTGGGGAGTGTTGAGTTATATGTATATGCAGACTTGGATCGTTGGGAAATGGTTAACACCTAGGGAGCAGAGCTGGGCTCCTGCAGGAACTCATTTCCATCAGTTTGTGGTGCCACCAATCCTCAAGTTTAGAAGGAACTGTACTTATGGCGATCTAGCAGCAATGAGGCTCCCTAAAGATGTTCAAGGAGTTGGAACTTGCGAGGTATAAAGAACTGTTTGGTTCTTGTTTGTGTCTTTAACCCTTTGGTACATTGGACTAAAACTTTGTGTGTTGTGGCAGTATACGATGGAGAGAGGGGTGGTTCATGCGTGCCATGCTGGAGGATTGGTTCATATGCTGGAGGGTTGGGAACATCATGAGGTTGGAGCTATTGATGTTGACCGTATTGATATAGTGTGGGAAGCAGCCATGAGACATGGCCTTAGCTCTCTTTCTTCACTCAGTGATTAAGTGAGAGAGAAGCATTTGATGATTGTAGTCTTTGTTTGATTCTTCCAAGATTGGTCATTCTTTGTACAGGTGAATGATGCAAACAGGGAAATAAAGAATTAGAATTTCACCTCATGTTATTGCTTCACCTTTGATTAAAGATGTATTCCACATTTTGGTTTTCCCTAAGATTCATATATGCATGCATTTCCAAGATATAATTGAATAAAACCAATTTGTGTATACGTTATTACAAACACATTTCTACACTAAACCAACCAAAATGCAACAATAACAAAAGAGAGAGAGAAAAGAACTAAAGATCTGCTTAACTTAAAACAGACCTTAAGCATTCATTTTAGTAGTTAAAAATTAGTACTTAAGCAGTCATTGTATCACCTTATGTTATACATCTTTAATTAAAACATGAACATAAACAGCTTAGTACTTAAGCAGCTTAAGTACTAAAATGAATGCAGAAGAAAGAGATTATTGTTCACCACCCAAAAAAAAACAATTCTCCTAACTAGAAAAACCCTCATGGTGATGATAAACCCTTGAGTCGTTCCCAAGAGGTGGCCAAGAAGATCAAGGTGAGAGATGACAAAAAGAATAGAGATAACAACGATGAAGATACCATGCTGCCAGTCTGCCACCACTTCCTCCTCACAGGTTTCACGAATCCAAACTTGTAGGGCTTAAATGGGCCAAGGTAGCCCGTTTAAACATATCTACATGTAAAGCTTTTGTTCTCTCACAATGCCAATGGAATAACATACAAATACCAGAGGTTGATTTACTCTGAAATCTATCAGTTTCTCTTTTTTACATCCCTTCAGTTCCTCTTGGAAGGTTAAGTAACTTAGAATGAGAAACAAGAACCACGCTGCATTGTAGCTTCTAAAGCCAGAAGTGAATCATGGCCTATTCAACGAAACAAAAAGAAAAAAGAAAAAATACAAAATGTGAATATCACTTCAGGCATCTCTTACAATGTAGAAGGAAACAGTGATTACCTCTTGAATTGAGTTAATGGCTCGATCCTCCTCACGATGAGACACATGTCGAGTTTCATGCAGTTCTGATCTTAACGTTCTCATCTCTGACTGCATTTCACTAAGCTGCTCTCTAATCTCCTTTAACAAAATCATATTTTCTGCCTCAATGCTCGTATCTTTTGGCGAATTACTCACTTTTCTTACTATCTTGCCTCTGACCTGTGAATCTTTCCACTTATTATAATTAGCACACTTGACCCATTTGTTCTAAGCAAAGATGATGATGATGATGACTTACATTTCTTTCTTCAGAGATGATTGCAAGGCTCTCCTTAGTCCTTGGAACCTCTCTATCAGGGTTCTTGATCATCTCCATCATCGAACTGACATCACTCTTAGCTGACTCAAGAATAGTATTACTCACCTGTGACACCAATGCATGTGAAATAGACTCACGCCTAAGCAAAGACCATTTAGATCCCTTGTGAGCAGCATCTCTCGACTCTGAAACCTCACGAACATGATCGTCTATTCTCCTTATCTCTTCCCAACACGCGCTCAAGTCTTGACGAGGAGATAAAGAACTACTCTCAACACCTTTCTTCTCCTCTGCATGTACATCAGAGCAGCCTAGGCTGAGTAGTTTACACCTGTAAGCCTGAACCTGAAACTCGAGAGACGCTATCTCCATTTCCTTGCGGTAAATCAGATCTTCGAAGAGCGTTAGAGAAGTCTCAGCATGGCACATCTTCTCTTCGGCCATTCTCTTGTAATGACTAGTCTCCATCTCCAACGTTGCTTTCTCTCCCTGAAGGCGTAGGATCATTGATAAGGCCTCTGAAGCAGCCGTTGAAGAGGCTTCACGTTCAGCGTCAAGCTCATGAGTGATCTTTTGGAGAAGCTCTTGCTGTGCCCGCATGGTTTCTCCGTTGCCTCCCACGCCTAGACTCATTGTTCTCTCTACCATTCTTAACTCTTATCACAAATCTTAGATTCAAAATTATACAAGAGTTTTTCGGATATGGTTTGATCTATGGTCAACGTGAGATTCTCACAACCTATGAGATAAGAAAGCGGGAAAGAATGAGACGAGATCTAAAGCCGACCAAGTGTTTTGTCCAAAGTCAACCCATGAGTGGGACAAGTTAACGTGCAAACAAGTTTTTTGCATTTTTTAAAAACATTCTTGGCCAGTAGAATGTATTATCAATATAATTATTTAAGTTATAGCTTAATGAATATTCCCAAAACAGGCACAGAAGCCAACTTAGTGAAAATTGAACTGTAGATTTGGCGGGCTGAGCCGGCCCGTGCTGTAGTGCAACGCATGGGCGACTCGTGAAAGCCCAGATAGCAAGCTATCTTAATGGGCCTTCTCCCTCAAAAAATAGAGTTAATATCGTGTGACCCGATGGGCCACATATCAGATATTAAACTGATAAGAACAGATACTACACTTGATCTTAGCCAAAAGGCCGAGAAAGGTATGATTTGTTATGCAGCATTGCATCTTTGTTTATACTACTCTGCGCTTCTCCAAACCAGCTTAACTTACCGATGTGGGACAAGAAAAAACAAACATAACATAGAAACAAAGTTTGGGATTCTCACAACGCAGACACATTAACAAACTCATAGAATAGCTTCTGAAACTTACCAAGCTGATTCTTCTTCAAGCACATGAACACCAAATAGCTTCCTTCTTCGTCTAAGCTCATTCCCACAAAGCCTTTCCCTTCATTCAAATGTGTAGTTCTCTTGAAGAAAGGCCTTCCCCATCCGAAATCAAATTCGTAAACAGTCTGCTTGAGTAAACCAACGATGCAGAAGTTTGCTGCACATCTGAAGATCGGATTGCCTTCACCAGGAACCAACTGATCAATGTCAGGATGTGTCTCTAAGGAGTCAATAGCTGATCTCAAGTACTTGTTGTCCATTTTCTTTATCTCTTCATGAACTCTCTTCACTGTTGTGCTGAAAGGCTCGCTGAGAAACTCACCAAGCAGAGATATGGGACGTGCGTGGAAGAGAGTGTTGCCAATGTATCCTTGTGGAAGCTTCGGTTGTAATCTTGGCCTCCCATCAATTATTATATGCAGCCTCGTCAAGTGTTCTTCTCTTAAATCTGTAAAGTGAGAATGTTAAGCAATCTAAAGTCTTAGGCCTTTCCAACAAGATCAAATTCATTACCTTCATTTGTAAAGCAAGCACAACGCCAGATATGCGCCACCAGAAGCTCATATGTACTAAACTTACTATCAGCAACCTCTGCCTTGGCTCTAAGAGCTTTCACTTGGAGAAGTGTGAGCTTGAGACTGGCAACTCCAGAATCAGAGTCAGGATTTGATTTGTAAGCCAGAGATTTCACAGGAGGATTGTGAAAAGGAGGTGGTTTGTACTCAGTGTGTGGAAATACAGGGGAAGGAGGGTCTCGTGCACAGAGGACTGTGCGGTCAAAGAACGGAGTTAGCTTAACTGAAAGTCCCCGAGCAGTTCTAGACCATGCTTCCATGAAACATGCAAGAGAGCCAGCGTCTCCGAACGTATGGTGTATTGTGTTTCCAATACAGACCGCTCCACATTTAAAATATGTAACCTTTCCAAAAAACAAAATCAGTAACCGATCTGTTAAATAATCATTCATAGAGTCTATGTGCATGTAATGTCTATAGACCATAGAATATATACCAACAGTCCTGCAGTACCTGAAGGAGAATGAGAGGTAAAGAGGAGATGTCACTTGAGTAATCAAGACTAGGCATAAGTTGAGAGAGATCCAAGTTTTGATTGAATAAGCCAATGTCTTGTAAAGTAGAATCAGACTCAGCCTCCACAAGCAATACTCCTTCTCCATTGCATAGAACCTCCAACCTCCCATTCTTATCTAACCACATATAAAGTAGAAAGTAACATTAAAAATGATGAGAGATCTAACCAGGGCTCTGTGTGAGAACTTTGAAGTCTTTACCCTTTTGTAGCCTCCCAGCGGCAGGGTAGAAGAGGACAAGAACCTTCCTCAGAGAATCGATGAGGGATTCAGTGTTGGGAAGACCGGAGGAGGAGGGAGATGGGTTGTAAAAGTAGAGGATACCCATGTGAATCCTCACCTGTATCAGGTCTAAATTGGAAAGCCATAGGCTGTGTCTAGGTGTTTCCTCAGCTGGCTTCACTATCGTAGCTTGCTTGACCTGAATCTTCATCTGATTCACAGTCCCCAAAGGGCTCCTGCTGCATAAGAAACACAGGTACGAGACTTAAGAATACGACTCGATCAAGCCTGAGCTGATCGATACAGAGAAAGTGGAAGAGACTGAAGAAGAAAAGTCTAGAAACGCTTTTGTCACCACCTCAGCTTTGGATAAAAAAAGAAAAATAGAAAAGAAGTCTGTGGAGGAGACGCAACTAACTACTCAACACATGCCGGGAAACGGGTCCCACTCAGAAGTGGATTTTTATAACAATATAGATACATGTACTTGTGAGCTAGAATCAGGAGGACGCATGTGGATACAAACTTCAGCTTACAATAACAGCAAATAACTATGAAAAAAATAATCAAACTGTGGCACCCCAAGCTCCTTGCCACCACCATTAACAACAAACGCCAAATTCATGTTTGGACATTCTGCTATAAACCCATCGTTATCCACCCAAATACCTGCATATGCTCCCATGGCCTCAGCCTCCATTTGTGTGAGCGCCATCTGAACTTCGTACTACGTAATAATCATTGACCCTTATATATGATTTACTATAAAGATAAACTAAACTTGAGATCTGGCGGCATGAACCAAACTGAGTTTTCTTTAAACACATAAACACCAGAAAGCTTCCTTATTTAAACACATAAACATAACTGAGATGAAAAGTTTGGGATTGTTACAAAGAGGATACACTGAGAAACTCATAGAAGAGCTTCCTGAACTTACCAAGCTGAGTCTTCTTCAAGCACATGAACACCATAAAGCTTCCTTCTTCATCTAAGCTCATACCTACAAGACCTTTCCCTTCATTCAAATGTGAAGTTCTCTTGAAGAAAGGCTTACCCCATCCGAAATCCAACTCATAAGCAGTATCCTTGGGTAAACTGACGATGCAGAAGTTTGCTGCACAGCTGAAGATCGGATTCTCCTCACCAGGAACCAGCTGGTCGAGATCAGGATGTCTCTCTAAGAAGTCAATAGCTGATCTCAAATACTCGTTGTCCATTTTCCTTATCTCTCCATGAACTCTCTCCACTGTTGTGCTGAAACGCTCCCTAAGAAGATCACCCAGCAGGGATATGGGGCGAGCATGAAAGAGAGCGTTCCCAACGTATCCTTGTGGAAGTTTAGGTCGTAGTCTTGACCTCCCATCAAGTATTATATGCAACCTCGTCAAGTGTTCTTCTCTTAAATCTGTGGGTGAAAAAAAAAAACAGTGTAAAGTGAGAATTTTAGGCAAGTGTTAAGATAAGAGCTGAATCATTTTTCAATGCTCTAATTTTTTAGGCATTTAGCTTCAAGAGAAGGTTTTTCCAACAAGAGCAAACTCATTACCTTCATTTGCAAAGCATGCACAACGCCATACATGCGCCACCAGAAGTTCATATGTACTGATCAACTTATGATCAGCAATCTCTGCCTTGGCTCTAAGAGCTCCTAGTTGGTGGCGTGTGAGCTTGAGACTGACAACTCCAGAATCAGAGTCAGGATTTGCTCTGTAAACCAAGGATGTCACGGGAGGATTGTGACAAGGAGGTGGATGGTATTCAGTGTGTGGAAATACAGGAGAGGGAGGGTCCTGTGCACGAAGAATTGTGCGGTCAAAGAATGGAGTTAGCTTAACTGGAAGTCCCCGAGCAGTTCTAGACCATGCTTCCACGAAACATACAATAGAGCCAGCGTCTCCGAATGTATGGTGTATCAAGCTTCCAATACAGATGGCTCCACATTTGAAATATGTAACCTTTGCAAAAAATTTATCAGTTTAGTTAAATAATTGTTCATAGATGCGTATAATGGATATGGACCAATATAAATCAACAATTCATTGAGTCCATGTGAATAACAAAGCATTTTTAAAGGAAACAGATTGGTGAAAAGCTTACTTGAAAGAGAAGAAGTGGTAGAGAGGAGATGTCTCCTGAGTAAGGAAGAGTAGGTGCAAGTTGAGAGAGATCCAAACCTTGAGTGAGTAAGCCAACATCTTGAATAGTAAAATCAGTCTCGGCCTCTACAAGCAGTACTCCTTCTCCATTGCATCGAACCTCCAACCTCCCATTCTTATCTACAGCAATATAAAGCAGAAAGAAACATTAGAATGACAAGAGTGATCTAGCCAGGGTCCACGGCTGTATAAGAACTTTGAAGTCTTTACCCTTTTGTAGCCTCCCAGCGGCAGGGTAGAAGAGGACAAGAACCTTGCTCAGAGCATCGATGAGGGACTGAGTGTTGGGAAGACTAGAGGAGGAACAAGGGTTGTAAAAGTAGAGGATGCCCATGTGAAACCTTACTTGTATCAAGTCTAAATTGGAAAGCCATAGACTGTGCATAGGTGTTTCCTCGGCTGGCTTCACGATCGTAGCTTGCTTCACCTGGATCTTCATCTGACTCATGAACATGAGATCAAGAAAGAGAAAGTGGAGGAGACAGAAGAAGAAGGTCTGAAACTCTTCACCACTTTTAACACCAACTCAGTTTTGGAAAAAGCCAAAAGGAAAAAAAAATAGAAAAGAAGTTTGTGGGTAAGACGCAACAACACAGGGAATGTCAGAATTGGGCCCCATTCAGAAGTTGAGTCATCACACGTTTAGATATAACTATAACTTACAATTAACAGCAAAGCAATAAAAACCAAAGTGGAATATCTTTGATGAGCAAAGATAATGGTTTGGCTCATTAAGGAACAAGCACACGGACAGAAGGTGGACCAGAGCTCATGTCTTCCAGTAACAGATCCAGTAGCGCATTGGTTATAGGACCTTCTTTTCCTGAGTCAGATGAACAATAAATCCATCTTTAATCAACAAGAACGTCAAAAATTGGAAAATGAAAATGGTTATGTACAGTGAAGCTTCTACATCTTACCATCAGCAATGAGTTCTTCATCCCATTGAATCACAGGTTTGACGAGAACTCCGCTCCCAAGAAGCATCATCTCATCAGCTTTCTTTCCATCTTCAACTGTCATATCAACAACTCTCACACTTTTGAGCATCCCTTTACTTACAAGCTGTTCAGCGAGTTTAATCATTCTCTTCGCCGTACATCCACTCAAAACTTTATCAAACCGTGGCATCACAAGCTCCTTACCACCATTAACCACAAACGCCACATTCATGTTTGGACCTTCTGCTATAAACCCGTCGTTATCCACCCAAATACCCGCAAATGCTCCTTTGGCCTCAGCCTCCATTTGTGAGAGGGCGTTTGGGAGATAGTTAACGCTCTTCACTGTAGCAAACTCTGGAGGCTTAATGGGGATGGAAGAAGTCACTACTTTGACACCTTTTCGTTCAACGGTGAAGTCCTTTGGGTAGACAATGGCGTAAAGAGCTGGTTTGGGACACTGAGATGGAGATAGTGAGAAATCTCCTGGGCCAGCAGAAAGCCAGTATCTTAGAGAGCCATCTCTACACCCGGAAACACTCACGGTTTGGATTAGAATAGTTCTGATAGTTTCCCGGTCGAAGGGAAGTGGAATCTTAGACATGGAAGCAGATCGTAGGATACGGTCAAGGTGCTGATCCAATTCATACAGGTATCTGATTCATTGCAAGGCACAAAAGACAATATTAGACACAAGTCCAAAATAATGTTATCAAACCCTTTGTAATGTCTTAAACCCATGAGTATTAGGGTTTCATTCAAGTATAATATAAATATGATTGGTATGCAAACAAGTGATTGTAACTCTGGGAGTTGCCTCAAAGCAACTCTCTCCTGTAGCATTTATGAAAGCAATCAATCTTTACTCTTCATGGTGACAATCTAAATCTTCCCTTTGTTTTTGTGTTTTCTAGTTCATTATATACTCTTATGAGTCCTAATCTATCTTGATTTTGAGATTGCTATCAAAACTGAGATGATTAAGTAATTAGACTAATAATTTTTTTTGCATACTTTTGAGTTGCGATTTGAAGTGACTGACCCGTTAATGATCATGGCGGTATCAAAGACTCCATGACCACGGTGAACCATGTGATCATCCAACGGAAGAACCATTGCTGCTGGATCAGTTGTGATGCCACCAACAACGCTTGAGTACATGGCCAAGAACTGTTTTCCTTCTCCCGCTAGTTTCAGCCTCTCAACAACCTTGTACAAACACCAAATACACAACCAACGCCTCAAGAAACATAAACAGACAAACAAATATGCCTCAATCAGTATACCCTCCACAACTAGCTTGTGAACATGACCAAGAACTGTTTTCTTTTTCTTGTTAGTTTCAGCCGCTCAACAACCTTGTACTAAACCAAACATACTTCATCTATACACAACTAACGCCTCGAGAAAGAAAAACAGACAAAAAAATATGCAATCAATCATTACAGCCTTTACAACTAGCTGGTGTACATGGCCACGAACTGTTTTCCATTTCTTGCTAGTTTCAGCCTCTCAACAAACATTGTACAAAGCCAAAGATAGTTCACTGGTACAAAACCAACGCCTCGAAACATAAACAGACAAATATTATCTATAACACAGCCTGCTAACATCATCTTCAGGCTCAAGCTAACAAAATGAGAGCGGCTTCAATGATTTTTCTAAGACATAACACTATGGAAAAAAAGAGACCAAAACTACCTCATTGCTAGATAGAACAGGAACATTCCACTTCTGCGAGCTCAAATCTGTACATATAAGATAGTCACAATTCATCAAATCGAAGAACAATCCTAAGCAACTAAAATCACGAAGATTTAAAGATTATATCAGTAACGAACCAGAACACATGAGAGTCCTTCCTCGTCTGCTCGGGAGTCGAAAGCCATAAGTTGAAGAATACGGAGCTCGAGACAGAAAGCGGAGACTACGCATGTTAACCGCCAACTCCGGTGAAAAACCGGCGACCAGCTCCGGGAAAAGAACGAGTTGAGAAGCCATCGGAACTAGTGAGCTGACTTGCTTTGAATTATTTTCAGACCTGTAAAAGGTAATAGATGGGCTTGGGCCAATTATATAGTTACTTCAAGCCCAATAGACAACGTGAAATAGTTAGCACTTAGCAACTACTAATCTGAATATCATAGTCTAACGACTCTCTCTTCGGCTGAGTTATAATGTCAACGTTAATTTTAAAAAATTGAACTGTAGATTTGGCGGGCTGAGCCGGCCCGTGCTGTAGTGCAACGCATGGGCGACTCGTGAAGACCCAGATAGCAAGCTATCTTAATGGGCCTTCTCCCTCAAAAAATAGAGTTAATATCGTGAGGCCCGATGGACCTCATATCAGATATTAAACTGATAAGAACAGATACTACACTTGATCTTAGCCAAAAGGCCGAGAAAGGTATGATTTGTTCGATTACCTAGCATCTTTATTTATACTACTCCTCACGGCTTCCACTCTTCTATTCTTAGCGATGTGGGACTCTTTAAAAGAGTAAAAGAAGACCAAAGATAACACTCTCTCTCGTTTAGCGGGTTTGTACAAAGCTTAAACCGACAATAGACTTAAACCTGAAGCCAAACAAGTCTTCGGTTATTGCCTTTGTTCAGCTGAGTTGAGAAGAGAAGAAGCCAAACTTTCTCAGATTATCCATCCTACTGGTTAGTTTCTTCATCCTTAATCGATCTTAGATCATTCGATCAGTGTTAACTAACTCGAAAGTCTGAATCTTTTTGGCGTCTGTGAAGCAGATTTTTTCCCGGAAAGTAATCGCAATCAGCTTTGGGAGAAGAGGGGATTGTTCATTCATTGTTTTGCCATGGTATTAGGTTTAGCTTGATGGGTTTTGATTTCTCTTAGCTCAGTCATCTTTATTTGATAGTTATATACTTACTTAGCTTGGAAAGTTTAGAGCTTTAGCCTTTGTTGTAGGACTGATTATTATGTGTGATCTTGTTTTGCAGGCAATGTATATCCGTGTGAAGCGCATGAAAGCCACTTACTTTATCCAATGCGATCCCACAGAGACTGTTTTGGATGTTAAACAAAAGCTCTCTACCCTCATTGAGCAACCAGTTAGTAACCAACGTCTCATCTTGTTGTCTACTGAAGAAGTATTGGAGGATTCCAAATCTCTAGCCGAGCAGAAGGTAACAAACGTTCTGAATGTTTCGTGTGTGCCAGTGTTGGGGCATGAATAACAAATTGTTCAAGTTTATATACGTGCTATCTTACTCATATGGAGGTTGACGCTTGTTACTATATTCTTTTTTTCTTTTGTTGTTTAGGTTGAGAATGATGCAGTTGTGGCTCTGACTTTGAGGAAAGGTACTTACTTGACCCTTATTTTCGTTTGCTTCTTGTAGTATTCTGGTTAATTCAGCGCCTTGTTAGGTATAGAGGTAACACCGTAATGGAATGTACATTTTGGTTAACTAGTAACCACAGTTTTCTATATGTTCCTTTGAACTTTATTTGATTCGTACCGAGGCTGTTGAAACGTTGCAATCTCTACAACCTTAGCTCCTATATTTAGCCCTCGTTAACTACAACAATTGTTGTGAGGTAAATCATTGATTGCATCTCCTTACCTTCTTGTGCAGACGATGACGACTTTGAGGATGTTGACATTGCACAGCCCACCGACTTTTCTGTTGCATGAAGAGTATAACTGGCTGTATCAGGAGAACCTTTGCTTCAGCAGGAGAAGTATTGATGTTAACACGAGTTGGAATCTATAAACGCTTGAAGTTATATCTTTCTCTAATGTCTCTTTAGTTGTTACAGACAATTGTTGTAAGCAAAGATATTTAGATGTGGAAGTGTGATTGCAATTTGCAAGATGATAAGTTGTCAGTTAAAGTCTTTCATGTTATCTCTCCCATTTTTCCAATTGCTTCCTTGGAGGAGTTACAATGAACTGGTGGCCAAAGACGATTCTTGTTGGTGTACACTTGCATGCTTTGTAACATTGAACTTTTTTAACACGACATTGATCCAAGCACTAAGACCCTTTTTTGATGAGTTGAAACTTTGACTATAGAACCGGAAATATGAAGAGGAAGCAGAGTAACTAAGGATATCTATAGATTTTGTCCCAAGCGGACTCCAATGTTAGGCTTTGTAGCTTGATCTTTTCCCTTAGGATGCACTCTTACATGCTTTGGCGACATTGAATTGAACTCGCTTAAAATTCTGTATCCTTTAATTTCAGCAACTGTTCACAGCAGGCTGTAGCGTGTAAATTTTATATTATTTAAACTCCTGAGTTGCAAAAAGAAATCTAAATCCTAAGCTGCAATTCCCTTTATGAGAACGGCTGCTTTGCACTTATGACACAAACTTGTGTTCTTGTTTCTTCCTCTCCTCGCAACAAGATGCTCTTTTTGGCATGTTCAAGTTTCACTGAAGAAGCTGATATTTATGGCGAGGAGCTTGGAATCTGTTGAGGAATCTTTTAGTTTAATGTTTACACAGTTGTACACTCATTACTAGTTTAGTTGCTGTTCTCACTTCTCATAGAACATCCATTTAAGCCGAAAACTTACTGGTCATGGATTTCATTCTCTGAGATGGATGAGTGCATGTTTATAAGTGAGTATTTCAAACTCTAATGAGAGCTGAGTTTCTGTGATACATGTGACTGCTGAGTTTGATTATGTTTTGCCTTTATGAACTTGCAGGCTGCAGTATACAGCTAACTGAGTTCATGATATGCGAGCTTTGTTACCCTTGGAAAAGCTTTTGAATATACTTATAACTGATATCTATTCGTTCAACAGATCAGAGTGGCGCAGCGGAAGCGTGGTGGGCCCATAACCCACAGGTCCCAGGATCGAAACCTGGCTCTGATAAAAGTGTACCATTTTTTATTTGTTTTTGTTCTTTCCTATTTTATCTGACGTCTTCTGTTTTGTTTCCATTTCTGTAAGGTATAAATATAGATTACAGAAAGAACCACAATGATACCTTTCCAGGTTCTTGTTTTCAACACAGACTAATTGATCTGTCTTTATGTTCGGTATGAATTTAAACTTCACACGAAACGTTTCTTTTAAGACACGTTTTAACACTTTTTGGACCGTTGATCTTGTTCCTGGACTATTGAATCACTTCCGTAGATTTTGTTTTACTCTGTCTAATAACGACACATTCACCAGTATACAAATGTCACTTCTATTAAAACGCCACTTCAAAGAATTGAGAAAGGGATAAGGTTTTTCAAGTTTCAAGCCACAATTGGATAACGTTTTTTTGAAAGGAGAAGATAAGCAACCGATGCAGCTAAACTGATGTGAAGCTTATATGTTACAAGAGACGTTGACTTGCAGAAGAAGAAAGTTTTTTTTTCTTCCTGTTTTAGACTCTGAGAGGTGCAACAGGATCTTGCCATGAGATTTTCCTCTTATTTGATCCGTTTCCTCCATTCCTACAAGACAATAGCTTCATCACTTTCTTCTTCTGCTGCATTTCGATGCTGCTCAGTCTCATTCTCTCTTCAGTATTCTTCAATGTTTCTGTTTCTTCCTCTTCTTCTCCCTATAATCAGTACAAGAGGTGGTGAAAAGACTAAGGACATGTTTGGTTAATATGTGCATAATATGAGAGTCAAAAAGATGGCGCTTACAGATATCTGGTTTAGATCAAACAGAGGAACTCTTTTCTCAAGACTTGTTTTGGTTTCATTTCCGGAATGGTTTAAGTCAGGAAGTGAAACATGTTTAGTTTCTGCTTCACTTCTCTTATTATTACTAGTAGACACTTTCATCATTTGGATATGTGTTTTACTCTTCTTCCCACCATTTGATCTCCCTTTGCCCATTTTAACATCTTGTGTCTGCCTAACAGGCTGGTCCTGTCTCAAATGTCTGTATCTCCGCCGAAGAAACCTGGTATAAACAGATTAAGACTTCAGAGAATAAAAAAACAGGACACATAATAGGATAAATAGTAAATGATTGTAATAATTCATACCGGACTTCTGCCATTAGTGTTGTCTTTCTGTCTCGTAATGTCTGTAATCTTTTTCTCCTTGCTTCAGTATCCTTGTTGAATCCAACAAACAACAACCCGGGTTAAGTTCTAATACACAGATCCATTTGATGATCCTAAGATCAGAAAAAAAAAAACACTAGAAGCAGACAAAGAGTCCTCTGATAATATGGACATAACAAAGACTCTTTTGATCAAGTTTAAGACTAACAAAGACTTGCATAACTACACATGACAAACAAAGTAAGAGGTTTTAGGGTGAAAAAGGATATTTTGAGCAATTCATTTAGAAAAAATACATTATTCTCAGATCCAGAGACAGTTTAGACCAGACCCATAAACTTAAAATTTTATTTTATAAACTCAAGAAAGAAAAAGAGTTCATACCATATGCAGTTGTTGATAGTCTTGCATAAGGTTATGATGCCTTATAAGTCTGACTTTGGGAACCTCGAAAGCTCGATTCATAAGATGAACACAAGATGTGTACTTACAGAATCACAAAAGGAGAGATGGAGAAAGATGCAGAGGGAGTTCTTGAGTTGCGTGTTGTGTTTCTAATATCAAGCTGAGGAGAAGTCAGAGAAGGACAAAGAAGCAGAAAAGAAGGACACATCATGTTCCTGTTGTTGTTGTTGGTGTTGCTGTGAAAGAAATAAAATAAAAGCAAAATTGCTTTGTTAGATTGTGAGTGTTGAGACAGCAGTGATGAAGATGGAAGGAGACTTGTGCACTTAATTGTGGTGTTGGGTCAAGAGAAAAGCAACTTCCTTTTTATCTTTTGTTTTTTTCATTTAATAATTTATCAACAACAATACTTCCTTCTTCTATTTTTTAATGGGGTTTAGTTGGAGAAATCTTGAAGAAAACGTCTCTCTCTTTGTTTCTTGTGTTCCATTGTCGTCTGTAATAAAACCATTCAAACTGGGTCCATTGAAAAGAGAGACCGATGAGAATAAAAGTTGAAATATAAACTTTAGTCTTTAAAAACTTTATTATTAAAGCTAATAGATGACTGTGCAGAAACTCTGACTTGATTTCTGTAAACTAGTGCTGGGTTTTAGCGTTTTTTTTTTTTTGGTCACATGCATTCCATTTACTCTGTTTCTTTTGAATTTTTTAAAATATCTTAACGGTAATAATTTTTTTTTTTGGTTTTACATGAATGATGCAGCGATGACCCATCAGCTGATGGAGAAGGAGGGTAAATGCAATAGTGGAAGTGTTTGGTTTTGGTCACAATTAACACACAGCTCTCTGTAACGCTTAGCTTCTTCATTTTCACGAGCTTTGTTTTTGATGGTCACGTTTTGGTTCATGGAAGAGATTTGTTTGGATCCAGTAAGCCAATATCTCTCTCTACTATATATATATATTCTTAGCAAATTCACTAAACAGCACAAAAAACATCATCAAACTCACAATGACTTCGCTTATGATGTGTTGTTTGTTTTTGTTATTGTGTTTCTTCTCTGAAGGCAGGGAGATTCTAGTGGGAGGCAAGTCCAACACATGGAAGGTTCCAGAGTCTACAGAGGAAAGACTAAACCATTGGTCAGAGAGAACAAGATTCAAAATTGGAGACTCTCTCTGTAAGTAATAGTTGATTTCACTTCACTTGGTCCATGGCTATGTTCTGTTTTCTCATATACTGCTTGATTTCTTTCAACAGTGTGGAAATACAATGCTGAGAATGATTCAGTGATGCAAGTGAGTGAGAAAGATTATATGAGATGTGACAGATCAGAGCCTATAAGAGGATACAAAGATGGTCACACAAAGATAGAGCTAGAGAAATCAGGTCCTTATTACTTCATCAGTGGTGAAGAAGGGCATTGTCAGAGAGGAGAGAAGCTTCTTGTTGTTGTCTTGTCTCCAAATCACAATAGAAGGAATGCAGCTGCTGCTCCTTTAACAGCTCCGGTCACAAAGAATGGAAGTGATCATGTTCCGATCAACAGCGCACAAAGATCCGTTGCAACTGCTTGTTTCCTTGTTCTTCTTCTTCTACCATTAGCCTTTTTGGTTTAGTCTTGGTACCTCTTTGATCAATTGTAATGCAATCAAAGCATGAAACAATATAACATGACTATATTTGGTTCAGACATGAAATTTTTTTTATTTTATGCAACTACCATACAACTAAACCAGTTCTGATGGCCTCACCGGATTCGTAGTCGTATCCACTAAATCCGAGGAACGGACTAAGTGGCCTTGCACATCTGAAAATAGTGACTTTGTATGACTTATTATAACAAGTCTATGTTCTGTAAAGACTCCAAACTTGAGTTTTACTAGTACAGCAAACCAAAAACATTGAACAAACAAGGTTTGCAAAATCCAAAACAAGATTACAAACTAAACAGCATATCGATAGGTGTAATAGTCCAAAGAAGCATCACTTCGTCTAATCTTAACAACCTGTCCTCTCTTGTCATTCAATTAATAAAATGGACTAAGATTTTTTAATGGTATATAAAATGGTACTTAAGATTCTGAGAATGCCCATTATTTAAACCTTGTTAAAATTTGTTGAATTTTCAAAGAATGTCCGGAAATAAGGATTCGAGAGTTATGTAAAATAAAACTCTAAGATTTTATTAAATAAAATCAAAGGTGTCTCTTACAATCCAAGAGATCACTGTATATAATATGATGAAAAGTCTTTAAGTCCTTAGGGAATTTTATTTTTGAGTCTTAATCCTAATATTTCTAAGTAATACTAATGTTTATCTAGAACAACAAGAAGAAAAAGGCTAATAGAAATAGTAGGATGCTACAAGCTGCATGCATAACACGTGAGCTAGATCTTCTTCATCTGAGGCATGCAGCAACCCTCCTTATAAGCGGCGTATTGTTCAACGCAACAACCTCCTTCGGTGAGGGGCTCGTGTAAGTAAATAATAGCAGTGCTCCTATCCGGCACATGTATGAAGGGATAGGTGGATTCAATTTCCTCCCTTACTTGTTCGTCAAAACGTTCAACCATGGAGAGATACTTATGATAATACTTAGGGTGTGCCTCCATACACTCCCACATGGTCTCATGCTTATCCCTGTCAGGGGCTTTTTCATATGCCGTGACTGATTTTTCGCAAGCACCCCTTTTCAGGTAAGAGTACACCGGCTCAACATCTTCCTCATGGAAGGTGGCTTTCAAACCCTCCTTCCACAGTTTCATACCGATTTCCGCCATCTTGGGATTATAGTGAGCCGCCACACAGTCTTCCAGCTTATACTCGGCTTCTTTGCAACCGTCATCGTCTTCGTGGTGGTAGTTTCGAGAATGGGACTCATAATTCCCCATATTCGCTCTAACGTTTAGACAAAAGAAATAGTGAAATTATATATATATATATATATATATATGAGGTTGCTTGCGATGCAAGGTGAGAGAAAGTGAAAGTTTTCCAAAGAAAAGATACGTACCTCCTTTCGAGAAATTTTCCATATGGGGAAATTTTATGTGAATGGGTCTTGACCAATGAGGCAATATTACCAAAGTAACAATGAAAGTTTTCCAATACAATATTTCTGTAATTTTTTTGTATCGGTATGATTTTCAGGACAATTGGACTGTCGAAGAATCTCCTGGAAGTGTCCCAAGTAGATTCCATTGTTAGGCTTTGTAGCTTAAACTTTTCCCTTATATGTGCAATCTTTTTGGCATGCTCAAGCTTCACTAACGAAGCTGATATCTATGGCGAGGAGCTTGGAATCTGCTGAAGAGTCTTTTAGTTACATGGTTACACAGTTGATCAGAAGAATGTACACTAATTACTTTATTTGCTGTTCTCAGAGAATATCCATTTTACTGGTCATGGATACCATTCCCTGGGAGGGATCAGGGCATGTTTATATAGTAAGCATTTTCAGATTCTGATGAAATGAGTTTCTATAGGAATGCTGAGCTTGATTATGTTATCTTGTTGACCAAAAAAAAAAAAGATTATGTTATCTTATGAACCTGCAGGATACAGCTTACATGTTGCCTTGGGCTAGTTAAAGAATTTTAAATCATGCTCTGGTATTTATACAACAAATCAGAGTGGTGCAGCGGAAGCGTGGTGGGCCCAGGATCGAAATCTTGCTCTGATAAAAATATGCTTTTTTTTTTTTTTGGCTCTTTCCTTTTTTGTATGGCATTTTCTGTTCTGTTTCCATTTCTGTCAGATATAATTATAGATTACAGAAAGAAACACAAATGAATGCTGAGAATGGTTGTGTTTGAGGAGTGGATAGCATCAGTAGTAGTCTGGAACTGCGTTGAAAGAAAGAAAGAAACAGGTTGTGTCTTTTTTACTTGGACCGAGTCACCGACTCACAGTGGGGTTAGCTAAACGTGTTGGTCAAGTCACATCTAACCGGGAGGTGTAGCCAGACCATTTGTACAAAATCTTAGCCTACTCAGAATGATACCTTGTCAGGTTCTTGTTTTCAACTCAGACTCAGTGATCTGTCTTTTATGTTCGGTATGAATTTAAAGTTTACACGAAACGTTACTAAGAAGACACGTTTGAACACTTTTCTGACCGTTGATCTTGTTCCTGGACTATTGTGGATCACTTCCTTAGATTTTGTTTACTCTGTCTAATAACAGACACATGTCCAATATACAAATGTCTACTTCCAAGATTGGAGATAAGGTTTTCAAGTTTAAAAGCCACAATTGGATAACGTTTTTTTAAAGAGAAGATAAGCAAACGATGTAGCTAAACTGATGTGAAGCTATACGTTACAAGGGACGTGGACTTGCGGGAGAAGAAAAAAAATGTTTTGTTTCCTATTTTTAGTTTAGACTCTGAAAGGTGCAACAGGAGGATCTTTCCATGAGATTTTCCTCTTATTTGAACCGTTTCCTTCATTCCTACAAGAAGACAGCTTCATGTCTTTCTTCTTCTGCTGCATTATCATGTCCGTAGTGAATAGAGAGCGAGAATGGAAGAAAGTATAAGAGGTTGTTGATCAAGACACAAGACTAAAGAAATGTTTGGTTTATTTTTCTACATTGTGAGAGTGAAAGATGGTGCTTACAGAGATATCTGGTTTAGATCAAACAACCGAACTCTTTTCTCAAGACTTGTGTTGGTTTCATTTCCCGAATGGTTCAAGTCAGGAAGCGAAACATGTTTAGTTTCTTCTGCTTCACTTTTATTATTACTAGAAAGACACTTCAACTAGGATTTGGGTTTTACTCTTCTTCCCTGCACCATTTGATCTTCCTCTGCTTTTTTTTTTAACATCTGGTGGTGGGCCAGGTGGCTGCAGAACAGGCTGGTCTTCATGTCTCAAATATCTGTATCTCCGCCTCAGAAATCTGATTAACGAACATTAACACTTGAGAGAGAGAAAACAACATCAAAGACATATTATTGTCAGGGAATGCAAGTATCTATACCGGACTTCTGCCATTAGTTTTGCCTTTCTCTCTCGCAATGTCAGTAACTTTCTTCTCATTGCTTCAGTATCCTTGTTTAATCCAAACCAACAGCAAAACGTGTTATGTTATAATATACAGATCCAAGTGATCATAAAGATCAGGGAAACAAACACAAAAGCAGACAAAGTCCTTGATAATATGGACACAGCAAAGAGGTTTTATGTTTGTTAATGAATCAATTAAGCTCAAAGTTACATATTTCTCTTCCAAGCAGCTGGGAGAACAGATCACGGTGAAAAAAGCATATGTTGAGCAACTCTTTAGAAATTCTTAGATCCAGAGACAGTATAGACCAGACACATAAACTGAAACTTCAAATTTATAAACTCAAGAACAAAAAAAAAAAAAAAAAAGAGTTGGTACCATATGCAGTTCTTGATAGTCTTACGTTATAAGGCTATGAAGCATAAGTCTGACTTTAGGATCCTCAAAAGGACTATGGTTGGAGGGAGTGAACTCGGCGTGAGTTGGATTCATCAGGTGAACACAAGATGTGTAGTAACAGAATCACAGAAGGAAAAATTGAGAGAGATGCAGAGGGAGTTCAATGCAGCGATGACTGATCAGCTGATGGAGGAGTGTAAACTCAATAGTGAAAGTGTTTGGTTAGTCACAATTAGCACACAGCTCTCTGTAACGCTTAGCTTCTTCATTTCACGAGCTTTGTTTTTTTTTATGGTCACGTTTTGGTTCATAGGAAGAGATTTTTGTTTGGTTCCAGTAACCCAATATCTCTCTCTCTACTACATCTATATTTTTGGCGAATTCACCAAACACACAAAAAAGACATCATCAAAATCACAATGACTTGGCTAATTATGATGTGTTGTTTGTATCTGTTTGTTATGTGAAGGCAGAGAGATTCTAGTGGGAGGCAAGACTAACACATGGAACGTTCCAGAGTCTACAGAAGAGACACTAAACCATTGGTCAGAGAGAACAAGATTCAAAATTGGAGACTCTATCTGTAAGTAATAGGTGATCTCACTTCACTTGGTTAAAATGGCTATATATGTTCTGTTTTTCTCATATACTTCTCTTCTTGTCTTTTCAACAGTGTGGAAATACAATGCCGAGAATGACTCAGTGATGCAAAAGATTACGAGAGATGTGACAGATCAGAGCCTATAAAAGGATACACAGACGGTCACACAAAGATAGAGCTAGAGAGATCAGGTCCTTTTTACTTCATCAGTGGTGAAGAAGGTCATTGCCAAAGAGGAGGGAAGTGATCATGTCATGATCAATCAAGCACAACGATCTATTGCAACTGCTTGTTTCCTTGTTCTTCTTCTTTCATTAGCCTTTTTGATTTAGTCTTGTTAATGCAATCACTGCATGGAACAATATTTGGTTCAGACATGTCTGAAAAAAAACAGTGACTTTGTAACTTATTATAACAAAACCAAAAAACATTGAACCAAAGCAAGCTTTGTAAAATCCAAAATCCAAGATTACAAACTAAACAGCATATCGATAAGTGTAATAATCCAAAGAAGTAGCATCACTTCGTCTAATCTTAACAACCTGTCCTCTCTTTAATCCATAGTATCTAGCAACAGGATCAGAGACAAGGATACGAGGCAGCTGCGTGTCTTGCACTGTGTACTTTTGAAGCAGTTCCTTCTTAGCTTGATTGTCAAGTACATAGTACTTGTTGATAAGTTTATGCTCAGTGATGTTAGTCACCAACTCAGCTTCCTCAAAGACTTCAATAGTTAAAATCTTGTTAAGCTCTATAATAGCGTTCTTAGCTGCACCAGTTATAGGTAACGGAACAACTATGATCCCTTGTGTAACTTTATCATCTCTCATCTTCATCACTACATCTTTTTTAATGACTGGGACTCCTACTTTAGGACCTTCCGGGTAGAACACGTAAATCTACAACAGAGTTTAAAGATTTGAGTTATAAAGACTTTTTTTTTATAATATGATATGTTGTTTTATAGATGTTATACCTTGTCTTCTGGATTTGGTCCTTTAGTGGTTGTCACGAATAGAGCTTCTTTGTTAACTTTGTTCATATCTTTGCAAAAGTTTTTAACAAAGTCTTCTCTTTTCAACTCTATATCAGACTCTTCTATATTGTAACCTCTATCTCTCAGCATCTGCAATACAGTGCGACGTACCTTGAAGACTCTTGTGATCTCATCCTCCACCTCTGACATTCTCTTCAATGTTTTTTTTTTTTTTGATTTGTTTGTTATGCCGGCGAGGGAGATAGAGGTGAGTTTTTAAAAGTGGGTTTACTAGGGTTTAGGGGGCTCTAGTGTTGTAAAATGGTTTATTTGGATCTGTCCAATTTCGACACATGATTGTTTATTTTATTAGACCATCTCCATTGTATTCTATTATCTTTAGCTCTAAAATAAAATAAATCTATAATAGAAGTGGAATTTATTCTAATGTACTTTTATATAATAATAATCTCAAACTATATATAACAAAAGAATAGAGATTGCAAAAAAAAAAAAAATTAATAGAAAATTGCTGTTTCTTCCAATATTTTAGAGAAATAAATAGAGTTAGTTTGGAGTGAATTTGTCTTTCAGTGCTATGGCAGAGGCAAATATAGGAAAATGTTAGAGATGATCTTACAATACTGATGCTAAATTATTATTTCATATGTTATATTATACTACAAGGTGTAAAATAGCAAGAACCGAAGTTGTGGAGAATGAAATATTGCATTACTTGAGGCTAACGCATATCAATCATATTGTTACCCTAAAGCTTCAACAATCTCAAGTTGGACATCAGCTCAGAAGAGAAGTCAAGATTCAGTCGCATCTGTGGAAGTTCAATAAAATGTGGCTTCATGGTTTTTTCTGTGATCATGAAAACTTACATGTGTCTTAGTTTTATATATATTAACAGTCTCCACCCTTTATACCATAACACACTTTATTGACGTCTTTCATTTGTTGCAGAAAAGAATGATAATTTTGACTCAATGGTTATTTGAATTGGGCAGGTGAAGCAAAAGAGTGCCTGATTTGCTATTTGCTTTCTCGGTAAGAGTCAGATTATGTATCTGTTCAAGATGCACAAGCTAGAAAACTCATGTATGCAGTACACACTAATTCTTTTATGGTGTAATGTAATCATAAGAATGTGAAAAGAATCTTTTTTGAAAAGTAAATATTTAAGCAAAATTTTTCAAAACATCAAAAATAGATAATGTTTTCCATTCGACTATTCAATCGAACTAATTTTCATTATAGTTATAAGTATTTAAGCATATGTTATTCCAACATATATGTATATTATTTTTCAATTTACATAGTTTTAGTGGATATCTAAACCCACAAAAATCTAAATACTAAAAATTTCCAAATAAAATCTAAATCTCTATATCTGAAAACCAGAAGCACAAATACGCATGAACTAAATTCCATAGGATACTGAATGCCCATCCCTTTATTAAGCACTTAGACATATTATAAAAATAATTCACATTGTTTAACTGCGCTTTAAAAATATAAATCAACATCATACTAATCTTTTCGTCACAACCATAGAAATATCTTTAACACCAATATATTCTAAGAACCTAACTGTTAATAGTACGAAAGGAATTCTATAAAATATGAATAAGATTTTAAAGAGTATAAAATAATTGTAAACAATTGTAAGAAATAGTATCAAAGACATAACTTCAAGCTTAAAACCGTTTAACACAAACATAACAAAAAGCATCAAAACAAATGATCTGTATACAAACCAAATATATCTTATTACATATAATCTTTTATCACATATAACCTTCCAAACTACAAAAATCGTTACCATACACATCTCTTCCAAATGTAAATCTAAAACATAAATCACAAAATCTTATAAATAATAATAATTTAGATCACAAGTAAAATATATCCGGCCAACCCTAGTTATTAATATATAAATTTCAATATACGCATGTACGCGGGTAATCATCTAGTCCATGTCTCCATATTAATTACTTTACGTTGAAGACTACGTATGGTTTGGTCTGTGGTTATATAATAGCTATTGCTCTTCTCATTACAATACATAGCCAAGAAAACAAAACAACAATCTCTTGCTTATTTTTCTGAGAGTATATATAACATAGATTTTATGTTTGACATTTGGTTCTCAACTGCTGTGAGACTGAAGATATAGACAGTTGTACAGACTTTGCACACACAAAGATTTGTTGTGGTTTATCTCCACTCCCTTCTCTCCTCTCTTTTGTATCTTCTCTCTTCTGACTGTCACTTACTATGTCGCCAAATCGTCCCTTCACCCTCATGCTCTTTCCACGTAACCCCTTCCCCTTCCAGAGTCACGCTCATATTGATTTTGTTACTTTCCCAAGAACAAGAGTTTTCCCATGCTTGTCTTATCTTTGGCCCAGAGAAAGTTGGTTCTTCAAAGGATATGCTTCTAGCGGGACGATCCCTGTTTTTAGATGAATAAAGGGATATTGCTAAGTAGAAGACAATTGCACATGGGGTGTCGGCTCAGGTAGGAAGGGTGTGTGCGTGACGTGGGAGGTGCACATACTATGTTATGTTTGGGGATGACGCAGTACGTATGAAGTAAAGACAAAAGAAAAGTAAACGAGTAGAGTTATAAAAGTTATTGGTCGATCAATATATCTTTCAGAAACACTGTTTTAGACTTTACAAATCGTTCACATAACAGACCTTCTCAATCAGTTTCAAAGCGGATTCTTATTCTCACCAGTCCAGACCAATGTTTTATCGCCAAAACAAATATGAATTTCTAAAGTCTTAAAACTTTTCTGCACAAGATTGGCTTTCATAAATGTGAAGCAGCGTAAAGAGCATACAAATCTACTAAAACTGCTTGCTTGTTAAACTATCGAAGGTCCTTATATTTGTTCCTGTTAGTTTCTAAGAGTATTAATACATATAGTTTATCCCTTACTGGCATGTCTAATTGTAATGGCATTATAAACTAGAGGGGATCAATACTTCGATTGGCTATCAAAACAATATAAAGTCCTACAATTTTTCTCATAAGAGGTGTGTTGGATTTGATTATCAGGCGTATTTTGATTTGAGTGTACTTTAGGAGAAAGGATGTTTGATATGGTCACTCAAACAAGTGGATTATATAACTTTTTTTTGTGTGTAGATTATGGATGATCTAAGTGATCTCCTAACTGGAGGAAGTTTGTTATCATTAGCCATTAGCAGTGAGGATTACTAAATTTCTATGTCATAAGTTAAGAAAATGGAAAGCTTACCAACTGTCTCTGGCAAACCTCGCGTGAGAATCGTCAGCTCATCTTTCTTTAACACGTTTTGCTCGTCTTTAGACGACTCTCTCTTTCTTTTGGCGTCTTGGCTTGCTTCAGACAAGTCCGAAGTCTTCAACAGCTGTTGTTGGTCTGACGCAAGAACGGCACCATTTTGATTAGTTCTCTTCTTGACTAGTCCTTACCCTCTCCTTCTTAAGCAAGCAAGCAGAGCCAGAAGCAACTTTGCTAGATATCTCTGAAGTGGAACCCTCCTGATCTCAAGGGTGCTGTACCATTGGCACCAAGACCGTTCAAACTACATGCTTACATGACTGTTGAACCATTCACTTGGTCACTTCTGTTAGAAGATATACTCAAAGAAGCTTTGTTTGTGGCAATGTTCTTTTGGAAGTCTCTTTCTTAACCATGGCAGTCGCATTCTTTGGGATCGTGTTTTGTCTATGACGAACATAGAATAGCATATACGCCTTTTGACTGAACACAGTCTTCTCACTAACTTGGAGAACAAAGTAAAGAAACTTACAACTAGCCACGTTAACAAGGAACTACGTACAGATATAAACTTATAGTAGCATATATAGAACCTACCCATTACGAAGCTCATTTATTCCAACACGACATGGTTTTCTCTTTTCTTAAGTTAAGTAGCTCATTTATAACAATGCTAAAATAGTATTCTCTTTCCAACACGACAATGCTCATTTATAACACATGGTTTTCTCTTTTCTAACAATGCTAAAATAGTACTACAAGGTCTAAAACAGCATCAATATGTGGAGACAAACAGCACAAAACTGAGAGGAAAAGAGATCACAAAACAATCTCCAATGTCTATAGCCTCTCTTCTCTTTTCCTCTATTGTTAACATTAGTTTCTGCCAAATACAGCAACAAGTGGATTACAAATTCCTTTTTGTAAATTATGGATGGTTCCTTGCTTATATCCTCAAGCCTGTCTTTGCGGTATTAATGCGTTGAGTATTTCTTCTTTGTATCTGTTTGTTGTTTCTTCGATGCAAACGCCTGGAAAGGGTTGGGGCCTACATACATCTCCTCTTTGATCCTTATCTTCTTTTTCTTCCCTCTATCATATTCTTCATCCCTGTCACATTCCAATACCATCTATGTGTAAAACCAACTGTCTAATGATATCAACCAAACACAAAGCAAATAACTCAAAACCCTCAAAAAACTCACCATTCATCTGCTACATAACCGATTTTCGTGCCTTCATTCATTCCCATCTTCTTCGAAGCTGAGACTTCTTCATCCCATTTAGAAACTGCAATAGTTATAAGACTTAATCACATAAACTTAAAGCTCTTGCTTAGATTTGGTTGATGCTAGTTCTCAAATTAGTTTAGAGTTGGAGAATAGTAAGTGTTATCTTCTAACTGGAGGAAGTTCGTTATACGGGAAACTTACCAACTGTCTCTGGCAAACCTCGCGTGAGAATTGTTGGCTCATCTTTCTTTAACGCGATTTGTTTGTCTTTTGAGGTTTCTCTCTTTCTTTTGGCGATTTGGCTTGCTTGAGATAAGTCAGAACTCCTCAACGGTTGTTGTTGGTCTGACGCAACTTCGCTAGTTATCTGTGAGGTCGAACGCTCTTGATCTGTAGCTCTTTCCTTGGATAGAAGCTCCTCAGAAATACCCTCAACAGCTAAGGCACTTGATCTTCCCTTTTTCTGTTTCTTCTTTTTCCGTACGCCAAGGGCCAGCTTGAAAAGTTTTAATCCCACCTGCAGGGTTTTTGTTTTACCCTTGCGAGTCTTTCTTGCTGTGGTGAGAGTCTCCTCATCAGAAGTTGTCTTTATTGGCTCAAGCAAAGCAGCCGATTCTTCCGACTTGTTTTCAGCTTTAGCTATAGAAGTAGGCAAGTTCACAAGAACTTGAGTGTTAGTGCTGCCATCCAGGAGAGGAGAAACCTTCCCTGGTAGTGTTGCGCATGCAGGCTTTATATACCCCTTTACCAAAGATCCTTTTCCATTAGCATGTGATGGTGGCAGTTCCTTTTGAAGGGTCTCTTTGGAATTTGAATCTTTTAGGGAAATGACAGCAGGAGCACCTTGACTACATGATCTCAAGGGTGCTGTACCATTGGCAACAAGACCGTTCAAACTACATGCTTTCATGACTGTTGAACCATTCACTTGGTCACTTCTGTTAGAAGATATACTCAAAGAAGCTCTGTTTGTGGCAATGCTCTCTTTGGAAATCTCTTTCTTAACCATGGCACCCACATTCTTTGGGATCGTGTTTTGTCTATCACGAACATAGAATAGCATATACGCCTTCTGATTGAACACAGTCTTCTCACTAACTTGGAGAACCTACATCAACAAAGTAAAGAAGAACTTACAACTAGCCACGTCAACAGATATAAACGACTAAAAACAGTTTATCAAACCAAAATTTTGCAACCAAAAGAAGGCAGAACACTGATGCTTACCCTGTTGTCATCAAGGGAATACCACATGCCACTTGCAGTGCGAACAAAGCAAGCATAGTGACCAGAATGGGTACTTCGACCATAATGAACTAAAACACCATATAAAGTGTACTTCAAATTACCCTCCTGTTCAACACAAGTATAGTATTGTTATAAGGGAACTCATGAAGCTCAATGATTAAAAAAATTACATATTCATTGAATATGGAGTAACAGGACGAAGTCTACTTACATAGGTACCACTAACAAAAGGTTTCATGTCAACTGCAGAGGCAAACTCGACTTTCTTATCAATCTTCTCGGATCTATGTGCTTCAAATCGCTTGAGATGAACAGTGAGAACATACGGTGCTTTAGAAACAGTCAGCTGTTTTGTAGCTTTAACTTTCTGCTTGCATCTTTCACATTGGTAAACCTTTGCACCATCATCTAAGAGCTCAACAGCAGTGAAACGCGTAAGCGCTCTCTGCAATGAATCAGCCTTCGAAATGTCTAGACTTAGGTCAAGAAATGGATCAAACTTGTCGGAGCAATGTGAACATTGCGCGCATTTCACCTGAAAAATAAAAACATTAGAGCAAGGCTTAGGAAATCATATAAGTCTTCTACCCATAGGTAAGCTTTACCTGACTACGGAGGGTACCACCAAATATTTTGTGAACCAAGCTGCTCTTGTAAGCATCAGAGGATTCACTTGAAACACCAGAAGGTAGACTACACTTGTGCATACATTCTAGCAAATTAATCATGTACTCATGAGCATCTTCCTGCCGACAATTTCTGAAGTTTCTCGAAACGCCTAATTAAAGCAGTTGAGAATCCTCATTAGTCTGATTACTAATAGGCACACTAAATAGTGCAAAGCAAACAAGGTCTGAGAAAGCATACATCGCAGGTTTGAGACCAAATATTTAGGTGCTAATATTCTGCCAGTAGCTTGAAGAGCAGTCCTCACATGCTTCTGCATTGCACATAATGCACAAAACCCAGCCACATGGCCTACACAAAACGACCACACTCATAAAAATCAATTAAACCAGTAAGAAGCTTAGCATTACGTACATCTAAACGCAACTAACTTACAGCGTTTCTCATGGCCAACGTCTTGCAGGTAAGCAGCTAATGGCTCAGTGTATGTCAAACATTGTAATACCGAATTAAGAAAACATGTGTTCCCGAGATTCTCCAAACCAGCACCCTATAAATAACCAAAGGAAGTATCTTTTCATCGATAACAAGTTCACACGAGAACGAAAGAGAGAGAGGGAAAAGGCTAAAGCAAACTAACGATTTTGCGGATGGTTCTATTAAAAGTAAGCTCCCGATCTAACCCATGTTCCAAAGAATCAGACCCGTCTCGCTTCTTAAAGGACGCTAAAGAGAAAACTTGCTTGTTGGCAGAGGGTGTGGGATTCAAAGTCTCAATCTTGAAATCGGAACGACCATTAGAAGAGGAGAAGCCATTGAAAGGTTTCCTTGCGAGATGAAACTCGATCTTTCTAGGAACGACTGATGCTGAAGAGGACGAAACGGCGCTAAATCCGTTACTCGCAGCCTCCTCCATCCGGTCAAAATCCAGAGGAATCAAAAAACGATTTGCGTTAAGACAAGACAAGTACACACGGTTTTGTGATTTTGTCGGGAGCAAGAGAAAGAAGATAGCTTTTTACGGCTATCTTCGAAAAGAGAAAGAGAGTGGTAGCAGCTGCAACGCGGTATTAAACCCTAGCAAATACCCATCCCGACATTACTCTCTTGCCACTTGTGTTTTTTTTTATTCCTTACAAAACAAAAGGACAAGAGAGCTTCTGTTTCTGTTACGGTGGTCAAAACGGCGCTGGATTATCGCCCGGTCAATGAACAAAAGTATTATATAATATAAGAGTGGACCTAACCTAAGTTAGGTTTCTGTTTACTAAAAAGGCCCATTTTAATCTTAATAAGGCTTATTATGGGCCTCAAACAGGCCTCATTACATATCAATCGGAGCATTTATACTTTTACGGTTACGCACCGTCGTCGAAGCGTATCTCCTCCTCCGTCGTCAAAAACCTAATCACGATTTTGACTGTTCTCTCGCCATTGACGGACACCAAGTAATAAGAAGGTATTCTTCTTTGTTTCTCCGCAGTCAATTTGTGAATTTATTGATTTATGTAATTTCTCAGATTTTGCCTTAGTTGTGAGTGGTTTTGAAGATGAGTGTGGCGAGTGATTCTCCAGTGCATTCTTCTAGTAGCGACGATCTCGCTGCTTTTCTTGAAACCGAGTTGGATTCTGACTCAGATTCTTCCTCTCAGTCATTTCCTATAGAAGAAGCAGCTGATGATGATGATGCTGAAGTTACAAATCATAGGTTGCTTTTCTATTTGTATCTTCAAGCACTAGAATTTAAGTGTGTTATACGTTCTCTAAACCGTGTTTCTCAATCATCTTTTAGGTTAAAGAGACGAAAACTGGAGCATCTAGAAACCGAGGATGTAGCTTCTGTGAAGTTTATAGAAGAAGTCTCAGGTGAAAGTCTCTTTCTTTAGCCTTAATTTGATGTCTTTTATATTGACTTTGGAACTTGATATCACTTGCAGAAGCATCCTCAAGCAAGTTACCATGCCAACACCCAGGTACATTTGGGAACATGTGCATTGTTTGTGGCCAAAGAGTGGAAGAAGAAGAAACTGGTCTTTCGTTTACATACATACACAAGGTATGCTGATTCCTTAGCTATTGTTAATGGGCCTTGGTGAAATACTGTATTGTTTTGTATAGGGTATAAAGTTCCATCAAGATGAAGTAACCCGGATGCGTGATATAGATATGAAGATGTTGCAAAGCCAGCGGAAGTTATGTTTAGTTCTTGATCTAGACCACACTTTGCTTAACTCAACTATACTTAGGGACTTGACCCCAGAGGAGGAATACTTGAAAAGCCGTACACATTCTCTTCAAGGTAATACATCTAAACTCTTTTTGTTTGTTCTTGCATGTGTTATACAATTCTACTAAGTTTTTTTTTTTGCTGTTGATCTCAGATGTTTCTGGTGGCGATCTCTTCATGCTTGAGTTCATGCATATGATGACCAAATTAAGACCGTTTGTTCATTCGTTTCTAAAAGAAGCCAGCAAGATGTTTGTTTTGTATATATACACAATGGGAGATAGGCCATATGCACGACAGATGGCGAAGCTGCTGGACCCAAAAGGAGAGTACTTCGGTGAACGGATCATTTCTCGAGATGATGGCACCGTGAGACATCAGAAAAGTTTAGATGTGGTGCTGGGACAAGAAAAAGCTGTTCTGATTCTTGACGATACAGAGAATGTAAGTTTTTTTTTTGTCTGCTTTATCAATGTTTCTTGTTATTATTGTGTTAGATTAGATGTTCTGATACTTGGTTTGATGCGCAGGCATGGCCAAGTCATAAAGACAATCTGATCGTGATAGAGAGGTATCACTTTTTTGCGTCAAGCTGCAAACAGTTTGACCACAGATACCAGTCTCTCTCGCAGCTGAAGAGCGATGAGAGTGAACCGGATGGGGCACTTGCCACTGTTCTTAAAGTCCTTAAGCAAACGCATAGTCTATTCTTTGAGGTATGCTCTTAATATAATATAAAAAGAGTAATTTTTCTCTTGTCTAGATTGTATTTTGATTATTACTAGCTTTTCAGGAAGGAGGAGAAGACTTATCCAGCAGAGACGTGAGGTCATTATTGAAGCAAGTGCGTAAAGAAATCCTTAAAGGGTGTAAAGTGGTGTTCAGTCGAGTGTTCCCGACCACTTCTCGGTCTGAGGATCACCCGCTGTGGAGGGTGGCTGAGGGATTGGGAGCAACGTGTGCGACGGAAGTGGATGCATCTGTAACACACGTGGTGGCTATGGAAGTAGGAACAGAGAAGGTACGGTGGGCTATAAGAGAGAAGAAGTTTGTGGTGCATAGAGGATGGATAGACGCAGCTAATTACCTGTGGAAGAAGCAGCCAGAAGAGAACTTCGGGTTGGAGCAGCTTAAGAAGCAAGGAACGGAAGAAGGAGAAGAAGAAGAAAAACAATGATGTATAACACTTGAAAGTAAGTAGACTGAGGAAGAAACAGTTAACTTATGTACTTGGATTTTGATTATGGAAGTACGTGGAAACAAAGCAAGTCTTGAACATGAGACTAATTTTGAAGTGTCGTTGCTTCTTCTGGGTCCAACCAATGTCTGTGCCATAGCTGGGCATTTAGCTCAAACCGAAATAAACCAAACTGGCCAAACTCTTAATTTTTTTGGTTTTTGGTTTTTGGTTTGACATCCGGTTCAACTACGAACTGATTAGCGAGATTAAAAATTCAATCCGCCTTTGGTCTGATATACGTAGAAATCAAATGGTTCGGTAAACATCAACTAAATAAACCGAATAAGCTGAACTTAACTGAGTTGTGCCAAATTTAACCAATTAGTTTTAATTTTCACCGAATTAGCCAAAAAAAAGCCGAGGAATAAAACGATTTCGGTTCAATTCAGAATACAATGCAATATCTAAAACCGAACTTAACCAAAATATAATTCGGTTAGTAGCACATTTTCAAAAACTTAAAACATGAATAACCGTGTAAACCGACCAGAAAAACGGAAAACCTAATTGCCATGTGGGTATCTACCGACTAATTTGTTGGGCCGAATCGGCCCTTCTATTAATTAATGTGGGCCACGTCAATTTACTTTAATTTATTGTTTTCTCTTATGCCTGTTTCTCACGTTCGACCGGCTAGTCTCACCGTCGCTGCTAAACATGGTGCTCGATACTTATGCTTCCTCGAACCCTAATCAGGTTCACGAGGATGTTCTTCAGAAATCTAGAGATGCTTGCTACAAGGTTTGGTTTCTCTTTCTACTTGCTTGTCTTTATCATGATCTTCCCCATCTATTGCGAATTTGCGATTAGGGTAATCGTTAATCGTGTCGAGTGATCACTTAATTTTGCAGGCAAGAGATGCTTTTTACTCTTGTCTGGAGAAGGAGTCTGGTAAGAAACCCACGGAGATCGCGTCTGTAGGTCTTCTGTACCCTAAAGAGTGTAGCCTTTCCAGAACCGAGTTCGTCAAAAACTGTCGCTCCTCATGGGTATGCTCTGTTTCTGTTTCTCTCTCTGTCAGTTCATTTGGGTGTGGGGTTGATCTAATGGATGTAATAAAAAAAAATGAAGGTGAAACATTTCGATAGGGAGTACTGTCGGAACAAGAGAGTGCAAAGGCTGTTAGATGATGGAGATGAGAGGAAAGGTCCAATGTCACTCCCTCAGCCTTACACTTTCAAGCCTTCTCCTTCTTCTTAGTTCCCTTTCTTTCCTGGTACTTGTTCCCTTACTTATATGACTTCTGTCTTGATTCTTTCACCTGTCTTTTAAGTAGTGTTCTGTCTTCTCACCATTGTTTTAGCTGATGATCAAGATTTTACCTTGTCTTTTGAGTAAGTCATATCATATTTTCGCTCATTCAAGGTAGTTTGTCTTTGTTCAGGTGTGTAGGCCTTTTCGGTTGAAGAAGATGACTCACTGAGTACTTCCTTGGTATCAGTTATTGTGTCTGAAACATTGAGTTTAACTTGTTTTTATATTCCTTAAAGTCTTGTCTTTACTTGAGTTGTAAGCCTACTACTTGGAATAAATGGGTGCTTTTGAAATGAAACTAATTCATTGCCTATTGTCTGTTGCCCACAATCTGCAAGCAATTTACTACACAGTATGCTGATATAGAACATGTTTATTTGGCTAATGAGTCTGCTGAATCAGTGAGTTATAGACTTGGTTTGTTCCTCACTGTTCTTGAAACTAAGGAGGGTTTACTTAATGTATCTTCCTCTGCCTCTATTGTATAAGCCCTATTCTCTCACTCATGGTATCCAAATAGCCAGCGTGGTTGATGAACTTGAGCTTAAATATAATATAGCTTATAGAAAGTGGAGAGCTTCAACTTGAATAGAATATTATACTTTGTTCCGGTTACATTCGAGTGACCAAACAATAGCAACGTTGACACGAAGCGATTTGGGAAAGTAGTGGGACGCATGTCCCTTAGTTTTGCGGTCCCACCACCTCTTTACTGTATGGTTTCTGCCTTGTCGGTTATGTTCGTTGTTGTAAATTAAATTTTATATTATTTAATGCTTAGCGGTGAAAAACAGTAAATAGATAATGTTTTGACTTAAAACGGAGAAAATGAAGAAACAATGAGAGATCCCCCTATGGTTCAGGCCTTGTCGGTAGAGACATCATCCATAGGAGAGGAGGCTTGAGGTGCAGCTGCTGCTGCTACATTTGCCTCCTCTGCTGCTACGACATTTGAAGTAGGGTTGAAGAGAGCTCCACGAGAGTGATTAGATGAAGATGACATTGCAGTTGCTAGAGAGATGGGCATTAGACAAAGCCCTTTCCCTTGAAGGTACTGCATTGCTGATCCCATGTCTTCTTCCATCAGTTTTGCCACTCTCTGTTCTGTTGACCTCAGGCTCTCATTAGATGATCCTGTAGCGTTTCCGTTTCCATTTACTACGCCATTGTGCGGTCCTGAGAGTGCGTTGAGCTGTCCTCTAACCTACATTACCAAAAACCATGATGATGATTAGTGATTATATATGCCACTTTACCTAACAATCCATGAAGGGACTAAGGAAACTGACCTCGGAGGTGAGACCATTGAGGCGTGGACCAGCTGCTCTTGCACCTCCCAATCTGCTCACGCTTAGTACTTTGACTTGAAGCTGAAGGAACCTAACGTACTCAATGATCTCGTCCAGCATTGATGCCTTATCCGTCTGCATTTCATCACCAACCAATTCAGTCATTAAACTGATCCAGACAATTATATGTTAGATCATGAAAGTATTGAGTACCTTGTTGGTGTTGGGAACCAATTCTTGGAGAGACTTCATCCTCTCTGCAATGCGTTCCCTTCTCAACTGCCACAAAGCAATACAATCAGAAACACACAAGATAAAATGAGGAGATGGAGGTACGTTAATAATGAAAGATACCCGCTCAGCGATGCTGTGAGGATCCGTGGCTTGGCCTCTCCTGGCTCGCACTCTTGGCTTTTGGCGAGCCACAGGTGCGCTCGTGGTCGAGACTGTCCCTTGTGCTTGCTGCAACGACCCATCTTGGCTACCCGTTGTTGGACCACCAGACTCCTGCATTGACAAAGGATAAGACAAAAGATGTCATTTGAGGAAATCAGAAACATGTTAGAGTTGTTTTGATGATGTAAGGTGATAGTTTGGTGCCTGAGGTTGATGGAACTGATCAGAGACGGTGAGAGCGTGGAAAAGTGATTGCGGAGGAGGAGGGGGAAGAGATGAGTCCCAGGGAGGAGGAGCAGGAGGAAGAGAGGAGAGCATTGACATGGAGTCATGGAAGAAACCGTTGTTGTTTTGGTTTATGAACTCTCCCTTTCCTTCTCCATTCCCATTTTCCATCTCTTTTTTGTCTTCTGTCTTTCTTCCTTTGCTTCCTCATGCAGTTATATCCTCGTTTTTAATTATTGTTTAAATTTTTATTTTTTTTTTAATTTAATGGCCGTTTCGTTTTCTTTTTAAATATTTACTCCCTTAGGTATATTTGAGATATTTAATAATATGAGTTTCGAATCTCTTAAATATATTATCTTTCTAAAGTCGTACTACTTAGCCGGCCTCTTTGTATATTTGTTTTTGTTGTTTATAGTCCTAAAATCCAAATCTTGATTTACTCGAATCTGTATAAAATCAATTGTCGTTTATATCTTTTTTAAAAACATTTTAATATTAATATCAGGTAAACATTTTGCCCTTTCGAATGTTAAAAATGTGAAATTTATGCAAATGCCAAGACAATAACATAAGAAGAGTTAAATAAAACGCCCAAAGCCACACACTCACACAGAGAAGCTTTTCAGGGTTTGTAATTCTTTTGTAACCGTGGTGATGATTGGTTAATGCTACCAAGGTAGTCTATGCTTATCTCTTTACTTGCTCACAGGCTTAGGTGATGATTGGTTTACTATTTTTTAGATTTTGTTTTCTAGTTTTGATTTTTTGTTTTCTAGTTTTGTTTTTTTTGTTTTAATTTAGTTTTTAATTTTCTGATCTTTGATTTTACAGTTGATTTTAATTTAAATTAGTGACAAATCTAAGTTTAAACATATGTTATAGTACGTAAATAATAGTTAAATTTTTATTTCAACAAACTAAATATATATAATTATCAACTTTAATTAATTGCATAAGATATATCTTACAAAATATTGATTAAAACATAATAGATTAACTTACCAACAATTCTAATTGCTTAGATTTTTTTTTATTTTTTATTGCTTAGAAATTTAGTGTAGGCAAAACTCCAAAAATGATTAAAAAAGTAGTATAATTTTGAGGTTTACGTGTATTTTAGAATATTATGGGTAGGTCTTATATAGTACACTACATAACTAAGATTACTAAATTTTATAAAAAGAAGAAAATCATTTTTTGTTTGGTCGTAGGTAGTTTGTAAGGGAAACCAAGAAAAAGTACAAAAACTAGTTTCCCTTAAAAAAAAAGAGGAAATCTACTTGACCATAATCATGATTGGATAAACATTGGTTTTTGGAAAATCAAAAACCAAAAACTACTTCAAAAACTCTGTTTTGTTTGTTTCTGCTTTGCTTTGCAATTTGTACTGATCACTGATTAAATTGATATATCAATCTGCTTTTGTAACTTCTACACTGGATAGTATCATGTTCTTTATTCTGTTTCGCAATTGGCATAACCATGTTTTCATCCACTGTGATAAAGCTAGGAAACTGTTATATAAGCTGGAAATGTGACAAGAGGGTACGTATGTAGTTTACATCAATCAACGGACAAGGCTTTGCAGCTCAATTCAAAATGTTATAGGCTAAACGAAAACAGACAGGCAAGACTTGCACAAGCACTTCACATAAAAGCCAATAGCTCCCAAATCGTGACCAAAACTGCTCTCTCACTGGCTTAGCCGTGCCTCTCTTTTAAGCACCTGCGCAGCATGGATGGAAAGTTAAGGTAAAACAGGTGAGAAGATAAAGCTTCTAGAGGAAAAAAGATGAAGCATATTAGAGGGATACTAACCTCATCAGCAAATTTGATCAAAATGGTAGTGCGAGGACGTTGTTGTCCTTCAATGGGTACAAAATGAGCAGTCACCACGGCAGGAAACCCTGCGTTATCCAAAACTCCCTGCATTGTAGGAAATGGTGTCTGTCTCATTCTCCTCTTCTTTAAATGATTTATAGTTTCATGGATATGGCAAGATAGTACTCACCTTGACTATGCCTGCCACAAACGCTCCGCAGTTGAATGTTCCCATGTCTTTTGGAATCGAAATGAACCTACACTTTCACATTTCTCATCACTTCTCTTGAACTAAAGACAATCACTCTTTTATTGCTAGTGTTTATGAAAAAGAGCTGGAGAAATCTAAACCTGTTGACGAGAAGCTCCTTTTCACTGATCATGTACTCATCTTCATGTTCTGTTCCTTTTTCAAGTGAATCAGCAACCTATGCCATATTCGTAAACCAGAAACAGTCATGTCTATAGAAAGAGTCTTAACAACTAATTCAATTTGTAATTCACCACTCACTAACCTTTCCAAACAAGACCTTCCATACAGTGCTGTGGACGAAAGACAGAATCCCAAGTAACCGTGTCTCCCTTCGGTTTCCCTGATACAACGAGAGAAAACATATCCATAAAACTACGAGAAGAGACTAGTCACTGAACTCTGCATTGCTAAACTTATATGAAAGAACACGTTGACTTTTCAGTCTTTCAGACAACAAGTCAGTCTCAGATGTTTTGCTAAGATAAAACGTACCTTCTCTCGATTGCAAAGAAGCTCAAGAACTCGAGATCCAACTGCATACCCAGCATCCTCTAGTCTAATAGAGAGAGACATCATTACCAAGCAAAACACATTGTTAGAATGTGAATGATTCAGACTAAAAAGAAAGTAAAAAAAATCAAATCTTGTTTGGTGCTATTGGAAACGAATCAGCCCCTCACCTTCTTTCAAGTTCAGCAATGTTATCAACTTGGGTTTGATTGTACTGAACTAGCTCCGAGAATAAGAACGCAAACGCGCTCAAGCTCACCTGCAACACACGTATCGATTCAAAGCCACTAAATTTTTCAGAATTAAACAATATCACCACAAACAGATCAGATCCAAATCCAAATCCAAATCAAAAGAAGGTTTCTCACTTCCAATACTCGTTTCAATGTCTAAAAAAACGAGATTTTTCCCGAGAAAATCTCCGAGATTTGAACCAGGAAAATGGATCTAAGGGGAGAATATACCTCTTGTTTGCCTTTGCTGAGTGGCTTATCAAGGACATTAGAGTACTGCTTCATTTTCCCCACTCCGATCATCTTCTTCCCTTCTCAGAACCCTAACACACAGATTCTTTCTAGTTTACTTTTCTCTCTGGGGGAAGGAAATTCACTCTTTTCCGGGAAAATAATCTGTTTTGTTCAAAAAAAAAAATCTGTTTTCTTAAAGCCGGTTTAGTCTTTGGTTCAATGAATTATTAATTTATCGATTTGATTCGGTTCGATTCGGTTTGGTGAATATAAATGAAGCTTAATCACCGTCTCTCTTATTCTCTCTCTCACGGCCGTTCTTACGCTCACTCCAATATGGACGAAGACGATGAGTTCGGAGATCTCTACTCCGACGTTCTCCAACCCTTCCACCCTCCTCCTCCTCCTCCTCTCCGTACAATCGACCTCAACCTCCGATCCGAAGATCAAGTCGCCGCGGAACCTAATTCACCTCCCGTCGCTAGGGTTTCCATCACCACCACCGCCTCCAAACCATCGACGACTCTTTCTCAAGACGCGAATCGCAAATCAATCGACGACGACGACGATAAGGAAATGAACTTCGACATCGAAGACGATTCCACACCAACGATTCCTGGTTTGTCCACTACAGATCGACAAAGTACGACGGCGTTAATCGAGAAGGTTGCCGGCGATGGAGGCTACGGAGGAGGAGATGATTGGGAGGATAGCGACAGTGAAGACGATCTCCAAATAGTGTTGAACGACAACAACAGCAACGTCATGATGGGGAGAGCAAGGATGAGAGGCAACGAAGAAGAAGAAGAAGACGATGACGATGAAGAGCAACCGCTTGTTATAGTGACGGATGCGGATCCGAATCAAGCTATGGAGGAGCAGCAGCAGCTTTGGGGAGAAGAAGGTGCGGAAGGAGATGGCAAAGAAGGAGAAGCTGTGAAAGGGAGTGCTGCTGGAACGGTTAAAGCTGGTGGTGGGTATAGCAGTCATGGTTATCATCATCCGTTTCATTCTCAGTTTAAGGTCAGTGTCAATTGCAACAAATGTTGTCACTTGTTAACATTTACTACTACTTAGTGGCCGAGGTTCTTGTCTTGTCGTGGCCCTGTTTTAGTTTTTTTATGTTTTTTTTTGTACTTGTATATAAAAGTCCTGAATGAAAATGCAGAGTATATTGATAAGAGAACATTGGGGTCTGCTTCTGTTTCTTTTTTATAACCATATGCAGAGTATGTTTGGTCCTAAAGAACAACAATCTGCTCCTCGTATATCGCAAACCTATGACACAACCAAATCTAACTTTAATGAAAGAACAACAATCTCTTCGGACACTAACTTGCTTTATGAATCCACCATCCCATCAAAGATTTCATCTTTTTGTGATTAGTTATACTAAAAAAGTTACAAAGTTCTCACGGTGAGACAAAACAAGGCTTGGTATGTGATCTACTTGATTTAATTGTATTTCTGTTGCAGTATGTGAGACCTGGGGCAGCACCCACGCCTGGAGCTGCTGCTGGGACCTCGTCAGGCCAAGTTCGTCCACCCGCTAACCTTGGTCCTATGGCTGGTCGTGGCAGAGGAGATTGGCGTCCGATGGGAATGAGGAATGCTTCTGCTGCGCAGAAAGGCTTTCACCAGACTTGGGGTGGTAATACAGCTGGGCGGGGACTGGACTTTACTCTTCCTTCTCACAAGTAATCTTTTTTTTATCTACTCGGAACTGTGGATATATTAGTAGTCGAGTCTCATGTTATCTACATCAAGTTTTGATTGGTACTTTCTTTTATTGGATGTCTACCTTTTGCGTATTTTTAGGACTATATTTGAGTTCGACATAGAGACTTTCGAGGAGAAACCCTGGAGATATCAAGGAGTTGATATCACAGACTACTTCAATTTTGGACTGAATGAGGAGACCTGGAAAGACTATTGCAAACAGCTGGTAATTAATAAATGTGATTCATATCTTTTTTTCAGAGTACTAAGAGGAACATAATTCAATTCCTTACAGGATCAACGCCGTATAGAGACTACTATGCAAAGCAGAATACGTGTCTATGAGAGTGGCAGAACAGATCAGGTAAACTGGATCTTGGCTTATATTATGGCTACAATATTTCGTCAATAACATCATATTCAAAAATTGTGACATTGCATTCCTAATCATTCTCCTGTACGATAGGGTTACGATCCAGATCTGCCCCCGGAGTTAGCTGCCGCAACAGGGGCGCAAGGTGTTCCTGTTGATTCCTCAAATTTGGTGAAGCTTGAAACTGCTCAAGGTGACTCAGCTAATATTCGACCTCCACTGGTATTTCTCCTCCAGCTTTGCTCTCTTTTACAATAGCATTGTCTATTTTTGGTTCACTATATTGTATTGTGGATGTACATTTTTCATGTTAGTATCTAAAGCTTGAGAATATTGGTTGATTTTTTTTTTTCTCTCAGCCCCCTGGAAGACCAATACCTGTGGAGACTGGTTCTGGTGAGCGTCCGTCATCCATTGATACACGAGCTCCTCGAATGCGCGATCTAGAGGCTATCATTGAGGTTGAATATGATTCAAATCTCTCTTGATTTTGATTTTATTGGTTAGGTATGTGTATGATATACTGACTGAAATTGATTTTGTTGCCAGATTGTATGTGAGGATTTCCATGAAGATGAGCCCTCTGGTGAAAATGGCGCAGAACAAGCTGATAATAGCCTTCCGGAAGATAATGCACCAGTTGAGACTGGGTATGTTAACAGCGAGAGACCAGACACGGAATCTGCTAAACGAGTTCCTGCCCAGGATCGCAAAAAACAAGACGATGAGATCTCTAGAAGCACGGATAGTGGCCAAAGTTTCCGTTCGTCTTCTCCTGTTGGAGACAGAGGCACAAGGTCATCAAGTTTTGATCGTGAAGATGTGGAAGGTGAAGCTGGCAAAGATGCTGAGATGGAGGAGGAGCATAAAATGAATTCTGCAGTCCCTCGGTCAGCAGTTGAAGAAGATGATGGAGGGGAATCAAAGACAGAGAGAAGTAGTGAAAGCAGCAAAGCAAGATCTGGAAGTCACAGAGATCATCAGCAATTGAAGGATGGTGCGGAAGAGGAAGTTATTCAAGATAAGAAGCATTTTACTCGACCAGCTAGCAATAAGAAACATCACGTTAATAATGCACCACATCAGAGCAGAAAGTATCATGACAGAGGGAAAGAAATGGAAAGAACTCGAGCTGGGAGCAAAGGTGGTAGTGAGTACTCAAATCCTCATATTGAGGTTGATCCTCGGTATATTAACTCAACTGCAAGCGGCGAGGATTTTGATAAAAGGAAAGAGCGAGTTGTTGATGGGGGAGTCTGGCGCAGGAAAGAGGATGACATATTCAGTAGAAGAGGTGGTGATGAAGGCTCTAGAAAAAGGGATCGTGGAGATGATCTGGGCTCTAGGCAGAGGGGTAAAGTGCGAGAGAGTCAACTACGCAGCAAAGATGACCATGTTCCTTCAAGAAATCATGTGGATGATGGTGGTTTGAGAAATAATTATGAATTGGATGATCACATCAGCAAGAGGAGGAAGGATGAAGAATACTTGAGAAGACACCGCTCTGAAAAGAATGAAAACGCATATAGTCAAAGAGAATCAATCAGCCGCCTAAAACGAGAACGTGGTGATAGGTTGGACCACCAAAAGAGAGACGTCCATGATATCGACGACCACGCTTCTCTCAGGCACAGAGATGATTTCTATATGCAGAGAGATGGTAATGAGAGGTTGAGAGAGCGTGAGGATTTGGATAAACTAAAACAATCTCACGAGGATGGTTTATCAGCACGAGGACGAGAGAGGCAAGTGTCTGCAAAAGGTCGTAGAGGTTCAGAAGACCGATCCTCATCGAGGATTAAGGACGAGTACAAAGCCTCTGACAAAGAGCATCTCACCAAGGATACAACAAGGCAGACTAAACAGACGAAGAGAAGGGAATACCCTGGTGAAGAAAGTTCTTCCCATCACAGAGGACACGAAGACTTCTCTGCACGCACAGACGACATTGTTAACCATGAGAAAAAACCAAGGACGGAGAGGACAAGTGTTAAAAGTGACAAGGTTGTGGATTCTTTGGATGACCAGAAATTGCAAGACAGAAAACATAAAGATTCTAGACGAAAGACTAAAGAGCAACGAGAAAGCACAGATTCATTGAGGAACAAGCAAGGAGAACAAAATGGCAGTTCCGAAGTGACAGTATGCCCCATCAGCTTATGAGTTTATTTTATTAAATCTCATCCAAGTTTTGCAAACTTAACGTAGTTATTGTGAATGCAAATATATCTTGCAAACTTTTTTGTTCCGTTGCCAATCTTACCTAATATATCTCATGGTTTGGTCATTTTTAATATGCCTCATGGTCAGTGTTCATGTTTCTTTTATGCCTTTCAGGGCTTAAAGGGAACCAACGAAGCAAGAAAACACAGGAATGAGATCCCACAGCAGCCCAACGCCACGAAAAGACGCAGGGAAAACGCTTCCTCTGGGGATGAGCTACAAGATTCAAAGAGAGGACGTACGAAATTTGAGCGTTGGGGAAGCCACAAAGAGAGAGATGATGCTGTCACTGCCAAGGGATCTTCATCCACTCCTTCAAAAACTCAAGAGAAGGAAAAAGGCACTAATGGCCGAGCTAGCGAACCTCTTGGCAAGAACCGGGATGTAACTGAAGAGAAAAGTGGCCATGACCTTGCGGAGACTAAAGATGGAAGCCAGAAGGGACAAGGAGACCGGCACTTGGACACGGTTGAGAAACTCAAGAAACGCAGTGAACGGTTTAAACTTCCAATGCCCACGGAGAAAGACAACAACGCAGGAGTAAAGAAACTGGAGTCTGAGACGCTGCCCTCTGCAAAAATTGAAGGCCCTGCAGATTCAGAGGTGAAAGCAGAGCGACCAGCAAGGAAAAGACGGTGGACAAGTAGCTGAAAGTCATAAACTGGAGCCGAAATAAAAAAAAAAGCGAGGAACTGGGTATCCTTGTCTTAGTTTGATGCCCCATGTAGCTTCTTAAACGTATGGCATGAGATTCTCTCATCCCACGGAGCAGTTGTGACGGTATCCAGAGATGGAGGATCAATTACAATATTAGGAAGTGTGGTTGGGAGGAGTATGTTGTGTAAGAATAGAGAGGGAATACGCATAAGGATGACTTTTGAGAGAATACACTCTTGTAGTAGTTTATGTAACTTTTGTCAAAGATTATTGGTCTTTTAGTTTTGTTCTCATACTGAGAAAGGATATTTTAAAAATACTTAATGGCATTGTATTATACATTTATACTGTAGTAACTATTTACTCGTCTTTGTCTCCTTGGTGGAGAAGGTTTGTAAATAGAATAAGAGCGACGATTATCAAGATTCAAAAATTTGTACTGAGATCAAACAATTCATACCACAAAAAAACAAAGTTTCTTTAGAGCTTTAATCTATAAACAACAAAACACAGTGTGCTTAATATGAGGAAAAAACATAAAATAGCTTGTGTCAGTATTGAATATACTGAGGCCAAACATGTTACAAACCTATGGTGTGATCACACTTTATTCAGCAGCAAAGAGGAGTCCCAAAGCCAGTATTGTCAGCAAGGAAAGGCCAAGATTAGCAGTTGCGGAAACGGTGCCGGAATGACCAGGAGCATCTGGTGAAGCTTCTCCACTCGCATTAGCGGAGACAATGTTTGCAACAGGAGGCAGAGGTGGATCAATCACGTCTCTGGCGTCAAGAGGTGGATTTGGGGCACTAGCTGGTGGCTGTGCTTCCTTGGCTGCCACGGAAAGTAAAGCACCAGCCTCTGCTGGTAAGATGGCATAGGGCTGCTCTTTGTTCAAATCTGAACATGGACTCCCTGCATTTACATCAAATATATATTAAACCGTTCTTTCATGATCTTGAAGAGTTTTAAAACTTACTTAAGTATCTGGTCGCTGTGACAGGGAACTCTGTGACGACTCCATCAACGCCAATCCCTGCAATGAATGTAGCAAGCTCTACCGTAGGATCAGAGAAGTAGTCAAAGGCTGTAGAAATGTACTCGTTTCTTAGCACAGAGACGTAAACAGAGACATTCCCCTTGTGCATTTCCTCCACTACGTTAGTCTTTCCTGTGGCAAAGCTTTTAGAGATGGTGACTAGAGAACTTCTCTTGAGATTGACAGCTTCTGCATGCTTCTTGATTTCTTCAACTGATGGCTTGGGAGCATCTCCTATCTCCTTGTCGATGATCAAGACTCTTGTGTACGGAGGGACAGCTGGGAAACCTGACAGAACAGAACTGTCATCTGACTGAATCAACACCTTTTGGGTTAATTGTATGTCGAGTGTGGACTTGGTGACCGCGGACTTGACTGTATCTACGATTCCTAGACCTTTCTTTGAGGCTAGGTAAGCAGCATTCTGTAAAACAACACAAGGTGTTAGTGTAGCTGCCTTGAATAAGTTAAAGAGTTAAAAAAGGGCTTGCCTCTATGTTGATCAGAACTCCAGTGACTGCCTTTTCAATGCTGAACTCAAGAAACTCAACAAGAGTCATGAACTTCCCTGCATTCTTGTTTGCTGGATTTCTCTGGAACCCTCCAGCATTTAAGAAAGGGCTCTGGATTTGAGCTGAGAACAGAGACATAACAATGTCAGTAACTTAGCTGAGAATGAGATAGTTTTAGTTACTTACGTTTTAGAGACTGGATCTCTGCCCAAGTGAGATCAAAAGAGAAAATTCCACTGGTAGGCTGGATCTCAGGAACACTGGTGGCTCTTGACATGAAAGTGGTCATGACTGTGGTACTTTCTGTTAAGTCTACAGAGTCATGACAGAAAGCTATTCCATCTTTGGACATCTGGACAGAACAGTCTATGATGTCTGCTCCATCGTCTACCGCCTTTTGATAAGCCATATCAGTGCTGCCTGGATAGTCTCCACTTGCTCCATTGTGAGTTATGACCAACGCATGGTCTGCTTTTGGGAGATTGCCATTTTGGTGAGACAAGCAACCTGCAAGAATACAAAACACATGGGGGCATGAAAAGACATGTGTAAGATGATGGTGGACAGGGCTGGTTCTTAACCTCCAACATTTTAAGAAAAATTTATATATATATATATATAGACCCCAAATTTGTTTTAATTTTTTTTAAAATATATTCTTACTAAATTGTTTATAACCCGCAAAATCTCAGGACCGGTCCTAATGGTAGATTGAAAGTTAACTTACTGATGGCCTGTGATGCTGTTGGAGGGAAGTCGGTGATGAAACCATCAACAGAGAACTGACCATTGTCCACAAACTGAAGATACTCAGCGGAGGGATCATAGCTATAGTTGAAGCTTGTGCGCAAATCATTGGCAAAGCCAGAAGCATAGACCTCTAGACCAGCTTTGTGTGCATCAGCCACTAAGGTGGAAGCAGGCTTAAGGTAGTTACCGGAGTCAAGTGGCCAAATGTAGTCTTTAGGGACAAGAACGCCTGATGCAAAGGCCTTGATAGCTGTAAGGTTCAGAAGAAGCTCACTGTACTTCTTGTTGGTGGTTGGCTCAATTGCCTCAGGGTCTTTGAACTCGAATATGAGCTTTGTATTGGAACTACCTACGTCCATCCCTATGGTTTTCAAGAACGCTATCTCTGGAGATGAGATGAAATTAATGCCACGGAATCGTAAGGTTTTTAGGTACTCAGCTGCACTCAACTTGTGTTCCATGTAGAAAGAGTCGTACTGTTACATTTTTGAAGTAGTATTTGTTTATTTATTTGATTAATCAAACAATAACTTTCAAAGAGTAGTGTAAGAAGAGAAACCTGAACGCTTAACCAGAACTTGGGAGGTTTCGTTCCTATGACGTCCTCCACGGCAGATATTGGCATCTGGCCATCGAAGATACTGGGCCTAGAGAAGATGTTTTGGACCACTGTTCAACAACACAAAACATCAAAAGCTATGGTGATGTTTGGGAGCATGTGAATATGGAGAAAAAGACATACAAGAGACATTGGAGAAAAGGGTGTCAGCAGAGTAGTCAAGGGCAAACCAGCCCTTGAGGTCTTGACCGTTGACCTTGTAAGTCTTTTGGGCTTTGGGGAAGAGAGTGGAGATAGTGGTTGAATTGTCAAGCCTGATATCAGGCAAGCAGAGGCCCACACCGTCCTTTGTCATCTGAAGATTGCACAAGATTGTGAGGCCAGAGGAGCTGGTGTTAGTAGCCAAATCGTTTGCAGGGGCGCTTGACTCAGGGAAAAGACCTGAGAAGCCACCTCTGGCCACAACTGCAGGCTCTTGTCCTGAAAAAAAAACAGATCAACAAGGATAAAACATGTATAGACTTATACAAAACAAACAAACTTGTTAAGTAACATAAACATATTATGTTAATTATGTAAAAGGATGAATACATACCGTTAAGGGTGAGCCATTTCTCAGCAGGAACCGCTTCTGTAGCAGCAGGAGTCTTTGGAACCGCGGCACAAGAGTGTAAGAAAAGGGAGAAAATAATGAAAAGCCTCAGCATATTTGTGTGTTATTTGATTGATCTCCTGCATGTACACGTACGTACGTAGGCCAAAGAAAAAGTCAGACACATTTACAATACATAATATATATATACGTTACAAAAAGAGATCTTACAGCAAAGAAAAGAAGAAGAAGAAGAACAGTACTATCTTCTTCTTCAGCTTGTTTTCCTCGTTGACAAAACGGAAAAAGAAGCGAAGAAGTAAAACAAAGATGGTCAAACGGAAAAAGGTAAACTAGTTAATGTGTAAACAAAAAAAGTAACTTGCTCGTATCATCCCATTTATGGGGCATTTACTACTGTCTATTTTTTCTCTCTTTTCCATCCTTTCGCTTTTAACTGTTATTTTTTTTTGTTTTTCTAGACCTTGACATTTGTACAAAATCCGAGATTAAAACAAGCCTTAATCGAAAATTTTTAAATTCATATCTGATTTGATATATGTATATATGCTTGAATGATTTTGTAGACAGTATTTCATGTATATGTATAATTTTAATCTGATCATAATTGGAATGGATATTCAAGAGCCCAAAAACCTACAAAAATTCATTTTTCTGAAAAATGAATATAAAAATCCAAATAGTACATAAAATTAGTAATTGAAAACGTAAATAAATAGCATAATTATTCAGTTTTTATTTTATACTGATTCGATTTGAAAAAATATATATATTTGAATAGTATTCTTAACAAATCTAAAATGAGTTCGAGTAAACATTATTATAAAATCTACTCAATCCAAATTTATTATTTAATCAGACTAGTTTGTATACATCACATCCGATTATTTCACATCTTTAACATTCTCATGTAATCTTCGGAACATCTTAATTTCTATCAGAGAAATAGGTCAATCCATCGGATTTAGAGCATCTCCAATATAAAATGGATTATGAATTAAAAATGCTCTAATCCCACTCTATTTCTAACTCCATAATAAACAAAAAAAATTACTCCATTTGTGGAGTAAATCTCATTATGGAATAAGAAATAGAGTGGAATTGAAACATTTTTTGCTTCATAATCACGTTATTTTATTTTGAGATGTTCTTATAATTATGTCCACTAAATTTGAGCAAATTATCTCGAATTGTAACGAAATTATCCTCCTGTTTTTCATACATGTTAAAGTAAATCTTTTATCTGGTATGCAAAGCTGAAAGGTTCGTGTTATACATCCGTAATCCAAAATATTCAGAACTCATTTGATATTTAAGATTTCATCCTAAATTATTAACATTACCATTATCAGTCCATGATACATCGAATTGATATGTAGGGATTCAAGGTATTAAAGGAGTCACTGTTTCAACTTTGTGGTAGGAGGGTCATGATGATCCTCGTTTTTTTTTTTTTTTTCATTAGTCTTCTTCCACATTTTATCTCAAAAAACATGTATTGGAGAATATCAATCAGAAATACAATTTTTCTTTTAAAAGAGTTTGTAGTTCTTTGTTTTCTAAATGTACCAATAAATCCATGGAAATGTGTTGAATTATAGTTTCAGTGGAACCATTTTTTTCTTCTCAAAACAAAAAGTTTATGTTTTGATATAGATATGTTTTGAAAGTAAACCGAAAGACATGAATAGTCCGATAAAATTCAAACGTGCAAGGTTGAGAAACATTCAAAGAAAAAATATTAATTAACTCCACTGGATAAATATATATAGGAGAATTTTTATTGGTGTCTAAATGTCTATAAATGGTTTATCTGCAGTCACCGCACAGTCTGAGATAATCTACCACTGAGATTCAATTCTAGGACTCTTTCCTATGTAAGACTCAGCTTGGTCAAATATGTTCACCTGATTTCATATTCAAACCTGTTCTTTAATGAATTGTCAAATCAAATAGTTGTAGTAAAACTTGTAATTCTCATGAAAGAGAGCGAATAAAAGAAGGGTATATAAATGACTTTGATAAGTTCTCTGCTTCGAAATCTTTTCTCCAGCTCCTAACGTCTCTTCTCCTCCTCCTCGTTGCTTCCATCTCACGCAACCACCGAAGCTATGAAGATAACCGCGTTACTTGTTCTCAAGTGCACTCCCGAAACTTCGGATCCAGTCATCCTCGCAAACGCTTCAGACGTGTCTCACTTCGGCAATTTCCAACGATCTAGCGTCAAGGAGTTCCTCATCTTCGTCGGACGCACTGTCTCTAGCCGTACCCTTCCTTCTCAACGCCAATCCGTACAACACGAAGGTTCCTTCTAATTCCCTCTTTGCCTTTTTTTTTTTTTTTCAAATTTCGATTTTCTGCAGAATTTAAATTTATTTTCACAAAAATAACAACGAAGAAAGAAAATAACTAAAATAAAACTAATTTAGATTTAGGTTTAGAGTTAAGAGTTGAGATTTTGGTTTAGGATTTCAACCTAAAAAAAAAATATTATAAATTTTAAAATAAAGTGGGTGACGAAAGCTTAAAAAGAAAATTGACTGTACGGTTTGTACTCGATTGTAATTGTGATTTGGTTTGGTGATGCAGAGTACAAGGTACACGCTTACAATAGTAATGGCCTATGCGCTGTGGGATTCATGGACGATCATTATCCTCTTCGAAGTGCCTTTTCTCTTCTCAATCAGGTTTTTCATTCTTTACTGTTTGAAAGATCACTTCTTTGTTGATTCGGTTGGCCTTGACAATCAATTTACTTATCAGGTGATAGATGAGTACGAGAAGAGTTTTGGTGAGACATGGAAGTCTGTTAAAGAAGACTCCACTCAACCTTGGCCTTACTTGGCCGATGCTCTTACCAAATTCCAGGTTTCTCTTCACTTGTGCAACTCTGTTTTAAAATATTAACGCAAGTTTACTGATTCCTCATGAACTAACTTTATAATTTGACCAAGTTGATTGTGGGTTTAGGGTTTAGTGATTTGGTTTAAAGTGATTCTGTTCTTGGCCCATCTTCAGGACCCAGCAGAGGCTGATAAGCTGTTGAAAATCCAGAGGGAGTTGGATGAGACCAAGATCATCATTGTAAGTGCTCTCTCTCTGAACAAGCCGACAGAAAGGGTCTAATATGCATAGATGCTGTCGCTGAATAGTATGATGTTCTGTCAATGAGTTTCCTTTCTCTGTAACTTCAGAACGAGAAAGTCTTGCAGATACGATAAGTGTTTTGTTGTCTACTCAAAACTCTGAATCTTTGTTCTTTTATTACAGCATAAAACCATTGATAGCGTTCTAGCCCGTGGTGTGGAGCTAGAAAAACTAGTGGAGAAGAGCTCAGATTTGAGCATGGCATCACAGGTAACAACATTCTACAGTCCCATACTAGCTTTTCCCACTGCCTTAGTCTCTAAGATTAGTTGGTTAAAACCGTAGAGACGGCAGGATGCGAGCGAGTTTGAAAGTGTTAGATGAACAAAGGAACTTTTGCATGTTGTAGCCTGTTGCATGTCGTTTGTTAGTGTATTATATAGATAGAGAAGCTCTGTGGACTCTGAGATGAGAAACTGATTTTGGTTTTTGGTTGAAACAGATGTTCTACAGACAAGCGAAGAAAACGAATTCATGCTGTAGTATTATGTGAGCTGCAGCTCGAGTCGTCCAAACTCGAGTCGTGTGATGTGTCATCGAATTACATTGCCATATTATATGTGATTGCTTTTAGTTTAAGTTCTCTTTTGGTAAACATCTATTACAAATTCTTTTCTGTGACTCGGTTACTCACGCAAATAGATTTAGATTGGGAAGATAAACAAAAGCAGAACGATGATGATTACTAGAGTAAACAGAAGCGGTAGTATATTACACAGACAAAGGAAGTAAAAGAGAAGTGAAACAAGTCTTCTTCTGTTTCTGTAACTATTTGCCGAAGATAGATTTGATCCACCAAACGCCTTTAGTGTCGTCAGGAGCAGCGTTGGACTCAGGTGGCGTGTCACTCTGAGGAGTCTTCTGAAGCTTGCTGACGTCATACCCTTGCTCCACCGCCTTCTCCACCAACTGCTTGTATGTCTCTTCCTCCACATGCGCCGTCCTGCTCAGTATCTACACCACCCACATACATAATCAACATAGCTCTTTCTATTTTTATATCATAAAAAAAAAAAAAAAGAAACCTTACCCAGAGATAACTCCTTGAAGGCTGGCCAATGACAGCATGCTGGTACTCAGGATCAATATACAGCACCCAGTAATCACCGGTAACAGGAATGATAGGGAGGAAAGGAGGAACGTAGAATCTGACTTTGAACTTAGCCTCATCGCTCTTAGGATCGGTTTTGAAAGCTGAGCCTTGGATGAAACCTCTCTTGCCTCCGTTCCACGTCTCGTTCAAGACTTTTACCGTGCCGTCAGGATTAAGCGTGTAGGTGGCGCGAGTGTCTGCACCGTTCTTGGGTTGGAACCTGGAAGGGAAAGAAGCAATCTCGTACCAACGGCCCATGTATCTCTCCAAGTCTAGACCTTTCACCACTTCCATCTCTTTCTTCTCAGTCGTCATCTTTTCCTTCTTCTCTAAGGTTCAAGATATTATTTTCTTCTGAGGTAATAGGATAAGAAAGAAGGATTGTATTTAACAAAGGAGATTTCCGTGGGAGGAGGGGCTGACACGTGGGAGCGTGTAGGGCAGATGGTTCTAGCAGCATCTATGAGTTACAATGTGGAAATAAGACACAAGTGTCTCTTTTTTGTTCTGTGGGATAGAGAATACAATACAATGGGCCAAAACATGACCGACCACAATGGTATTAAACTGAAGAAAAATGATGCGACCAGTAGAGAGGGTCATTTACTAGGGCGTAGGAAACGAATCAAAGGCCAAATCTAGTTACCATTGACACCATTCCGTTACTCTCATTCTGCAACAAAAACGTAATCGTATAAATTAAAGTCACAAGGATAAAGACATGTTTGAACGAAACGTAAGATTGTAGAATGTATTTTATCCTTTTTCTTCAGGGAGGGTATGTAACTGTGCTTTAGAATGAAATACTATTGCTACTGATTAGCATATTCATTTCATCCTAGCAGGTAACATTGCTTGATTTTTTTTCCAGTCTAGGTTTTATTGATGCTGAAAATAGGTCAGTCACAGCTGCTAGTGAGAATCTTGACCCAATTACAAATGTCTCCTTTTTCTCTTCTTTGTTCTGTCGGGGAGAAGAATACAATACAATGGGCCAAAAAGCTTAACCCAACTACAAAAAGGCAGTTTCATCATCTTGTCAGGACTAAGACAGAGAGACACACTTAGCAAGATCTTTTATACTGAAGAACTTCTTTCTTTTTAAAGAAGAAAACACTTAGGTATTCATCCTTTTGATCCCTTAAACAAGTGGAGCTTTGCTCATTTTCCAAGTACAAATTAAGTGCTCATATGGGCCTCTTTGATCAGTTGCGAGGCTAGAGATATCAAATGTGCTAAACTCAAAACAAGCTCCTTGCATCAATTTGATATTAGAATCCAAGAATAGAAAGAAGAAAAGCCACACCACACCACACCACACATAAAAAGAGTTACAAATTTGACAAGAAGCCATCAGAAAACAGAGAGCAAAACTATAGCTGTAGCCATCAGAAGTGGCAAGAAGAACACTTGTCCCTGAGCAGCCTCACTGTAATAAGGCAATATCATAATCGGAAACCTGCATGTTTCCGTAGAAGGATCCGTCTTGGTCACCTCCGATATGTTTGAAAACTTACACGCTTTATCCTCCTGGTCGTTCATCTGATAATAACTATTAAAAGCATACGATACGTTTTCCTTCCCATCAAGTTTCCCACACGACGTCCCAACACCAAGACTGGTGCAGTCCCCGCGGCTACACGCGAAGCTCACGCTAGCTGCCACCTGAGGATCATCCAACCTCACGTTCGGCTTCATCACACACCACTTCTTCATTAGATAGTTCACTTCTTTGGCCTGCACCAAAGCTCCTGTGTTGGTTGTTCCCAAGTTGAATGCATATTTAGGTAACCCATCAAATGTGAATAACCCCCAATGTCTCTCAAAGTAACCAGGCTCAACACTTTTGCGATCCTCATCTATCAAACTGAACAGGTACGCATCTATTGGGCCAGGCCTCTTTGGAGTCCCTTTCCCACCTGAGATATGATCCATGAAGCCTTGGTTGAACTTTCTAGCGAACTCCACGTTGGCATTCTTGTCCCCACCCGTAGGCCAACCGATCTCACCAACTACGATAGGCATTTTTCCAAACCCATTCTTCTCCAGGGCGTGAACAAGAGTGTCGTAGTTTGCATCGAACATGTTGTTGTAGAGAGTCTCACCATCGCTCAGGGGCTTCGAGACGCCTAAGGCGTAATCGATTGGGAATTTGTCGTCGTTGTAGAGACTGATGAATGGATAGATGTTAACGGTGAAGGGGCTGTCGTTTTCGCTCAAGAACTTGACGATTGTGATCATGAGATCATGGATGTTGGCTCTGAAGTTACCTCCGGAAGGGAGTGTGGTGGAGGTCTCGTAGACATCAGCGTTGAGAGGACATGTGACTTTCACTTGGTTCTGGAGACCAGCTTTTGTTAACGCAGTTTGGATGTTTCTTAGAGCAGGGAAAGTTGTGTTGAGATAGCTTCCGTTATAACTTGACAGGAAAGGTTCATTGCCAACAGCAACGTATCTGTGTCAGAGAAACACATTCAGCATATACTTTAGTTGTCAGCTGATACAGTAGAGACATGAGATTTGTGTAGATTTATCTCAGACAAAGACTGTTAACCCGTAATATTAGTACATTTTTTTAAGAACATAAAAAAAAGGTACAAAGGGACAAGTGTACTTGGAGAAGGGGCTGAACACTTGGGAAAATTCTTTATTTTACCAGTTGAGTATGCACTTGATGTAATACACAGTTTTTTGCTTGAATATAATTTTACATTCGTTCAAAAAAAATCACAAACTGTAATTCCAACAAAATAGTATTTTTCCTTGTGCATCGAATGAAATTAATATGATAGATAGTATAGTACAATTATAAAAGATCAGAACAATTTATCAGCTATGGTTACAGGCACAACCTACTTTACTGTCTCTCAAGTCCCAAGTCAACTTGTAGTACTGTAGAGCCCTAAAAAGGAAAGTTGGATTAAAAAGGGAAAGGACCTGATGTTGACGTTGTTTGTTGAGATGTGAGTAGAAACATTTATAGCAACCCATTTCTCAGCGGCTTTGAGGCTGGAAGCGAGAGTGGACAGCATCTCATTAGGAATACCGACCATAACTTCGATTCTTGATTCGCCCAGAGCCTTGAGAGTGTCGTATTCAGCGTCGAATAGCTTCACTTTCTGAATATTATTGTCTCTTAGCATTCGCACCACTGTGTCCGGAGGAAGAGGGTGCGAGGCTTGCGTGCCCCAGTTCGCTCTAATAGAACTTGTCCTTTGAATAACCATTGCCATCGTCAGTAACACCACCACGAAGCCCCATCCCATCTCACCCGCAGATCTGACTTTTCTTTTGACCAAAAAAGCTACAAAAACACACTGAACTATCAGCTTTTGAGCTTAGCTGTAGTACTGTCTCCTCGTATTATTTTATAAGAGAAAGCGAGCACGCAGGACTCGTGGGAGTATTGGGACGCACATGTCTTTTGGCGAAATGACAAGTAAGACCACCTCCATTGGTGGTACTTAATTGGAGTTCCTAAAGAAAAAGTGAAAAAAAATAAATGAAAAAAGGAGATAAAAGAAAGGAGCGGTACTTACTATAGGTGTTTGAGGATTGGTAAGGAACCTTATGTGGCAATGTTTTATTGGAGTATGTCTTTTCTGTGTCTTTCTTCTTCCCAAAAAAACTAAAGTTCTTCTCTCTCATACATTCCGTTTCTCTCTCTTCTCACTATATTTATTATTACTTTATTAATTAGTACACATAAAACTCCTTATTGATGGACATGCATCGATGTCTTTGGTAGGTGGTCCCTTGTCTTGACGGATATGCGGGCTTTTGTATCACAGGCCCATCACTTTCACAAAGTTTTTTTTTTTGTCACAAAAGTAATGTATCTTTTTTCCTTGAATTATTTCGACTTACGTCACAAAATTTACTTGCCAAAAAATTTTAAAACTTTCGCCTACAAAAGTATCTGATGTATTGCTCTCAAGAACAAAGGTAGAGACGCTTTGAACCTCCACAATTACTTGGGAACTTTTTTTTCATAGATACACTTTGAACCTCCACAAAAGGTAACATGAGGAAATCCAAGAATGTTGACTGGATATACAGTCGTACAAAACGGGACTACTATTGAGTTTAGTGGACTCAAGAGCGGATGTCTAGGACATGCTGGTTTCACCATCAGTTCAGTTTTCGATTGTTGTATATGGTTGCCATTATGGTCACAATTCACAGCCTACTGTTCTATTTTTTGTGTAACTGCTTACATGTCACTAATTTGAGAATGAGGATGCATTGTCAAAGTTGAGAGAGCTTACACTGTAAATGATATCTTATAGTTTTTTTTTGGTAAAAATTGACATCTTACATTCACCCAATATAAATAAAAAAAATCAGTTAAAAAAATACTTGAACGAGGAATGAATTATAGAAAATTGGAAAAAAAATTATGTCATATTGGTATTAAAGAAGCCCAAGTGGTGGTATTAGGCCCACGACAAAGCCTGTGTATTCTAGGGTTATATCAAGAGAGATTTGTTATATAAAGTTATGTTATGGTCTTGTAATAGGCAACTTTGGCTGCCATAAAGAGCAGCCTTTCCCTTCCTTATTATATGAATCAAACCATCTTTTATATCTCTTGAAGACAACACAAAGCNGCAACTTTGGCTGCCATAAAGAGCAGCCTTTCCCTTCCTTATTATATGAATCAAACCATCTTTTATATCTCTTGAAGACAACACAAAGCTTAATCATTTCTTTATATTTTGCACTCAATAAAGCTCTCTTGAGCTATGTTTTATGATCTTCAATAAACTCTTTAAACACACAAATCTATCTTACCCTAAAATGTTATCATGGTATCAGAGCACAGTCGGTTCATTGGGCGTTCTTTCATTATCCTAAGCTTCCTCAACTTTGTTGTTTCATGGTCACTCCACGCATCAGCATCCAAGAAGAAAACTCAGACAAGAAAGTCTTCATCAACTTATAAGTGCTCGTGGCCTTGTATCACATCAAAGGTCAAAGCTTTAAAGCTGAAGCATGCAGCTTTTCAAAAGACGACCAGATCTAGAACGTAATCATACGAACTCTATTTATCAAGGGTATGTATCTGTCCTTCTATCCTAGACAGAACAAGTGAATGGTTGTTTGGTAGATTGAGAAGAACTTGGTGGCTTATGGTTTGTTTGATGCTGTCTGCTGGTGGTTAGACTATGGGATTGAATACGTGAAGTAGTGATGCAATACGAGTGTCTTGGGCTTGATATTATGGCCAGAAAGTCTCTGGAATTTGTTTTTTTTTGTTGATGCACACAAGGTGCTCGCTGAAATGTCATAGGAAAATAAATTAGGTCATATGCAGTCTTGTTGGTTATTGGATGGAAGATAAATAGTGGGTATGATTCAAGTTGTTGTGGGAAGGTCCCTTTTGTTATCAGACAAATTTGATGAGTTACACGGGTCACAAAAGAACCCGGACTCTTTGTGAGAAAGAAAGGTCACAGTGTACCTCTGAGTGAGATCGACTAAGCTCTCCAAGTTCAAAAGAAACCTCTGAGTGAAGCCATGCGATACTCTCCAAGTATAGACCAACAATCTCTTCTTTGTGGTGAATTTAAGATTACTCTTATAGCTCCATGTGATCATGTTTCCACTACTTACTCCACCTAGCCACCTGTCTTTGCGGTTCAAACTCAGCATCTTGCTTCTCACCCGACGCTAAGTTTGCGGGGGAGTATTAAAGAAGCCCAAGTGGTGGTATTAGGCCCACGACAAAGCCTGTGTATTCTAGGGTTATATCAAGAGAGATTTGTTATATAAAGTTATGTTATGGTCTTGTAATAGGCAACTTTGGCTGCCATAAAGAGCAGCCTTTCCCTTCCTTATTATATGAATCAAACCATCTTTTATATCTCTTGAAGACAACACAAAGCNGCAACTTTGGCTGCCATAAAGAGCAGCCTTTCCCTTCCTTATTATATGAATCAAACCATCTTTTATATCTCTTGAAGACAACACAAAGCTTAATCATTTCTTTATATTTTGCACTCAATAAAGCTCTCTTGAGCTATGTTTTATGATCTTCAATAAACTCTTTAAACACACAAATCTATCTTACCCTAAAATGTTATCAATTGGATGATGATTCTAATATAATCCAAAATCATATAAAATGTTGATGGAAAACACAATTGTTTTCGTAAAACCAAACATATTATGTGTTTTCGTTATGGAAGTTCTGATTGAAAAGGATAATCCAAAACACCAAACCAAGTGCGTTTGTATAGGGGTGGGCACGGATCAAATATCCAGTTTTTTAAAGATATTTGTGATTTGTTTTGAATGTTACAGATATCTAATTTGGTATTTAATTTGTTTTGAAAAATACGGATATCCGGAAAAACGAATATCCAGAAAATAATTAGACATTTGCGGATGTTTACGAATATCTCATCCATTTTGATTAATACAAATAATCTTAAAATTTTGATACAAATTTTCTTTGCAAAAATATTTTTTACATGATATATAAAATAAAAATGGAAAGAACTAGTGAATTTACATATTTTGTAATTTTTAAAATTTAAGTTACAATTATAATAACACAAAATTTAAGAAAAAAAAATAATTGTCATAACTTTTTTCTCTCTTTTTATGTAATCCTTTATATAACTAATAATGTGAATATAATTATTCAAAATCATGTTCTAGAATAATAATTATATAATTTTATACATTTAAAATTTGAATATAATCAAGATATATATATATATATATATATATATTTATATATTTATATATTTTCGGATCAGATCGAATATCCGCTTTCCAAATTTTTAATATTTATGATTTGCTTCGATTTTAATGGATATTAATATTTAGTATTTGCTTTGATTCGAAAATTTACGGATATTCAAAATTTTCGGATCAAATCAAAAGAAATAACGAATCGAATCAAATTTAACGGATTAAAAAACACATGTTAGAGATGGCATATGATCGAGGTATAAAATGTCATCTCATATCAATGGTAAGACATTTACCAAGTTGGGTCAAGAGTGGGGCCCTTTGGAGGCGACCAGAACAGCCAATCACGAAAATAACAAAAGACTTGTCTGAAAATAAACAGAAAACTCGGATCTGTGAGAGAGGCTCGAAAGTTCGTTCCCGAGACATCGGAAGAAGTAAGTAAGAACCGTAGAGAAGAGTAAGTGAAAGGATGGAGCGAGAGGGGGAGGAGGAGAAAAAGAAAGAGGGATCGTATAGGTATTGGGTGAGAGAAGCCACCTCAGACGCAGCTCCTCCTCCTCTTCCTCAGAAGCTCACTACCAACGACGTCGTAGCTCCCAATGCTCCTGCTCTCGGCTCCCTCTGGAATCAGGTTCTTTGCTATATTCCTTTTGAATCTCTCAACATTATTTGATACGGTTCTTACATCTCTTCTTTTGTTTCTACAGGCTGGCACTTGGGAGGAGAAAAATCTCACTAAATGGGCCACTGATCGATTAAAGGTTACTTCTTTCAGTGTTCTTTTGTGCTTTCTATGGCAAAAGTATTTATCTTTGGTTCTTGAAAATTGAATCGTTGCTCACAGGAGCTGTTGGGATCAGTGGGTTCTTTGCAGTTTTCTTCTGGTAAAGCTGAGATTGTTGATGTGAACAGATGTGTTGGAGATGTGAGTTTTCATCTTTGTATTATTCTCTATGTTTGTTTTGGAACTGATGATGATGATGATGATGTTCACTTCTTCCTCGTTAGGCTTTCTTGGTGATAGTTCGGAACAAGAAAAGAGTTGGCTATACTTATGAGCTTTCCCTCAAAGTCCAAGGTAAAGACTCTCCACTGGCTTCACCATTATGTTGATAGATCTCTCTTATTGTCGTTGCTCATGTGAACTACATCTTATTTGCATACATTGTTGGCGATTTACTCAGGAGAGTGGTCTTTTGAAGAGGACACGAAGCAGGTGAAGGGGAGTCTGGACATTGCTGAGTTCTCATTTGGGGAGCTTGATGATCTTGAGGTAACAACATCTATTGCGTAGAGACTTTGATATATGATTAGGTGAAGGATGGCTAGGATATTTGAATGGTGAGATATATGTGCACTTTGTTGCTATGACAAGGTGAATGTGAAGCTTAGCGATGACAAAGAGCTTTCCCAGCAACTGAAACAGCTGATTAGGCTGGATATGAAGCAGTTTTTGGAGCCTATACGCTTGAAACTCAAGCAGTTCGAGCAGGAACTCAAAGATCGATAGTGTGACTTGTTGTTCTCATTGTCTTCTTTTTATTTCATATCAGCCATTCACAGTTAGCTAGTATCGAGAACTTGGTTAAACATATTGTGGCATCTTAGCTCTTAGCAGTTCTTTTTTTGTTTTGTATTCATGCTACATCTGTTTGCCAACACATCTCCTTTGATAGTCAAAGTTCAGTTCATCAATCAGCTTTAGTCATTGTACCTAATGGGAAATGCTTCGTTAATAGCTTAAATTAAAAACAGAGTAACAAGCACAGAAACAACAGAGTAATACATAATTTGAAGACCCTCTAATCTATTACAGTCCAACTTAATCTTCACTTTTCTTTCTTTTTTTTGGTTCAATCAATAAAAGAAATAGCTCTGACCAGCTGAGCCATGATCCACATTATCATTCAAAACTAAGCTTTTCTTTTTTTTCTACATTCAAACCCTCTTGCTACATTCTCATCCTTTTTTCCATGTTCAAATTGTCAATCTCACTATTTCCATCGGTAGTTACATAGGTTCAGCATCCACGTTTATGTCAGTTAGCAACAATATCTTCCCGAGTGGGTCCCTCCTTTATTAATTTCTTCAGCATTATTTGAAAAACAGACAAGACAATGAATATACCAAAGACAAATCCTTGTTTCGTCTTCTGCGAAAGCATCTGGCAGAGAAGACATATAGTCGTTTTCTTAAACGTGTTCATCAGATGGCGCGTGTGCTACTACAACACTCGTGAGTTACTTACTGTGTTCTAACTTTTTTCCTTTCTGTTATGTCGGATTTCCTGTTTGTCAAAAAAAACAGTTACTGTAATTGAAAACAGATGTAATAAAACTTGTGATGTTGAAGAAAAAAAAATGTAAAGTTAGAGGAAATGTTGAACAAGAGTGCACGTATTAGGTGAAACAGAGTGTGTGGTCCTTTATATATATGAACTGGGTCCATGTCAGTTTTCGAATAGAGATAGTGATATCTATCTTCCCAGGCTTCCGCATCATCTCTCATTTGCAGCCTCAGAAACATGATTTCTTGAAAATAACAAACCATAAGTTAGGTTCAGTACTGTTATGATTTTTTTTTATTTAGTTTCCTCATCATCTTTGTCCCTTTTAAGGCCATTTACTATGTATCCATGAGCTGCAGCTCATAAAGTTACAAGTCTGGTATTTCTTTTATTACCAACTTCATGTTCTTTAACGTGTTTCTTTCTTGATCACTTTAAATGGCATTTATTAGTTGTTCCTAGGAACCTGCAGGTGTGATTGCCACATCCATCTATCTAACTCTTGTTAAAAACTCTTCTGTGTTTTGATTTTAGAGCCAATTCATTACACTCTTTCGCCTAAAGAAACGATATGGAGAGGCCAAGAGCCCCACCCTTGACCAATTTGGAGCCATTAAGTGAACGCAGGTCCCTTGAGGTCTTCAACCCCTCGAGTAAATCATCTTCATCAAAGCCTCAAGATGGTAACGATAAAGGAAGCAGCAGTAAGTGGATGGAGTTTCAAGACTCTGCAAAGATAACTGAGAGAACTGCTGAGTGGGGAATATCAGCTGTTAAGCCAGAGTCAGGAGAAGATGGCATTAGTTTCAAGCTGTCCACTGAAGTTGAACGGAGCAAGATGTCTAGGAGATCATCCGAAGAATCAACATCTTCTGAATCTGGAGCCTTCCCTAGAGTATCCCAAGAGCTCAAAACCGCTCTTTCCACCTTGCAGCAGACATTTGTTGTGTCTGACGCTACACAGCCACACTGTCCCATAGTGTATGCCAGTAGTGGATTCTTCACCATGACTGGTTATACTTCCAAAGAGATTGTTGGAAGAAACTGGTACGTCTTCTCTCATATGTCTTTTACTTAGTGTCATCCACGGTTGATACTTAGCATATATATTGATATTGAAACCCATGCTAGTCGGTTTCTGCAAGGACCGGACACAGACCAGAAAGAGGTTGCCAAAATTAGAGATTGTGTCAAGGATGGAAAGAGTTACTGTGGAAGGCTCTTAAACTACAAAAAGGATGGAACACCCTTCTGGAATCTTCTCACTATCACTCCTATTAAGGATGACCAAGGCAACACCATCAAGTTCATTGGGTACCTCCCTGTTTTTTCTTTATTAAAAAACCGTCTCCTCTATCATTCATTTTGACAGTTCCATCTGCTTTTGCATTGTTTGTTTGCAGGATGCAGGTTGAAGTAAGCAAATACACAGAAGGTGTCAACGATAAATCATTGAGGCCTAATGGACTCTCCAAATCCCTGATCCGATATGATGGTTTCTGCTTCCCTGCATCTCTTTATAGAACTAATAAGTTTTTCTTTTCTTTTGTGTGATATGAACAAATATATTAACATGTCCTGCTCTTGATGTTGGTTATCAGCTCGCCAAAAGGATAAAGCTATGGATTCCATGACAGAGGTCGTGCAAACAATAAAACATCGCAAGTCTCAAGTGCGTGACTCCGTGAGCAATGATGTTATGGTTAAACCAGATAGTGCTACTACACCTGGTAGACAAGCTTTACAATCAGATGAGGCTTCAAAGCCAGCGAAAACACCTGAACGTGTCTCTACTCCAGCGAGGTGAGTCTTTTTCGAATCATGATGATCACATATTCTTAAAAGCATGATGAAAGTGCAAAAGTGTAAAAGCTAATGCAATGTATAGGTCAAAGAGCAAATCACTTAGCTCGAATAAAAAGCATGAAGATGTTACTAGTGTGGAACCTGAAGAACTGATGTTGAGCACAGAAGTTATAGAGCCGAGAGAGAGTTGGGACCGTTCAGAAAGAGAAAAGGATATACGCCAAGGGATTGATTTAGCGACCACTCTTGAGCGCATAGAGAAGAATTTCGTCATCAGTGATCCTCGTCTTCCTGATAATCCCATTGTATGTTTATTTCAGTGTGCTACTATGTTTGGTCCATACATATATGGTAAGCATGTAACATTTAAATGATAATGTAAACTGATTCCTATGCAGATATTCGCATCAGACAGCTTTCTCGAACTGACAGAGTATACACGTGAGGAAATTTTGGGGAGAAATTGTCGGTATGTGAAATATTCTTCTCATTGTGTCTTTTACTCATTAGCTTCATCATGTCTAGTAATTATGCAGTCTTCTCGGCTGTGTTTTTCTTATTTCTGTGATATGAATATGTGCAAATTTGTTGGTCTCAGGTTTCTTCAGGGGCCAGAGACAGATCAGGCAACTGTCCAGAAGATAAGAGATGCAATTAGAGATCAAAGGGAGATAACTGTACAGTTGATAAACTACACTAAGAGCGGTAGCTATCTGCTACTAAACATTTTAAAAATTATCTTGCAAGTTTTCAATTTGGTATGCTCAACAAACCTCTAAATCAATGCAGGAAAGAAGTTCTGGAACTTATTCCACTTGCAACCTATGCGTGATCATAAGGTAGCCATGAGACTATTGTCTCATGTCTAGATTTGGAAGAAGAGTGTGAATTGTTGCTGACTACATGAGTTTTTTTTCCTCATTAGGGAGACCTTCAATACTTCATAGGTGTGCAGCTTGATGGAAGTGAACATGTGGAACCCATCCGCAATCGTTTGTCTGAGAGAACAGAGATGCAAAGTTCCAAACTGGTACGTGGTTCACCACCTACTGCAGTTTTTGAAATGATCATTTCCATTAAAGGATGCTATCACATTGGTCATGATCCAGGTGAAAGCTACAGCAACAAATGTAGATGAAGCTGCCAGAGAACTTCCAGATGCTAATATGGTAAGGTATACTAATTCATGATTTACTTTACAAAGATGTCAAACAAATAAACTAAATCGATTTGTCAATGTGTTTTTAGACGCCGGAAAACCTGTGGGCTGCACACTCAAAGCCAGTCTATCATCTGCCTCACAAAAAGGAGAGTACATCGTGGAAAGCAATACAGAAGGCATGCATCGAACCTCATTACTTTTGACTTTGTTTCTCAGTCTCATGGGTGTTTTGATTGCAATATTCTAGATCCAAGCGGGTGGAGAAACAGTGGGACTGCATCATTTCAAGCCAGTCAAACCGTTGGGGTCTGGTGATACTGGCAGGTACCGTTTTGATTTCAATATTCTCATCTGCTTTCACTTTGTATATACTTATATAACTTTACTATTTTTTACAGTGTCCATTTGGTTGAACTGAAAGGCACTGGTGAGTTATATGCCATGAAGGCAATGGAGAAAACCATGATGTTGAATCGTAACAAGGTATAGAATGGAGAATGAGTTCCAAAAAAGTGAAGTTTATATTATATCTGTCATCACTGACAACTGACAAGGTGCAGTTCTATACAGGCTCACAGAGCACGCATAGAAAGGGAAATTATTTCCCTTCTGGATCATCCTTTCCTTCCCACTCTCTATGCTTCCTTTCAGGTGTAAATGTTTTTTTCTTTTTGTTTTTTATCAGTTCAGTTCTTGCATCTCATTGCTAAAGCGTTTTGTTTCTTTCTTCAGACATCTACGCATGTTTGTTTGATTACAGACTTCTGCTCCGGTGGAGAGTTGTTTGCATTGCTTGACAGACAACCCATGAAGTTTTTGTCAGAGGAATCAGCAAGGTAATCTATTCTGATATGCTTAACGTGTAACACAAGATACACTGGTCAGAATCTTATATCAGTGTGGTGTGATGACTAAATAGAGACACTAACCAATCACTTTTTCATCAGGTTCTATGCAGCAGAGGTCGTTATTGGCTTAGAATATCTTCACTGCTTAGGTAATAATCCTTCTCTATTGACCTAACCATTTCTTGTTCACACATTTAGCCACACGCCTTAAGTAGAGTCTCTTCTTTCTACAATAGTTTAGCAGTTTCGTTGTATATATGTTCCACATACAGGAATAGTATACAGAGACCTGAAGCCTGAAAATATATTGCTTAAGAAGGATGGACACATTGTATTAGCAGACTTTGATCTCTCATTCATGACATCCTGCACACCCCAGGTTCAACTCCATTTTTCTTTTCTAATTCAACTCCATTTTGTGGTGGTAATATAAAGAAATGTGACAATCAAGAGAATAATGGTGTGCAGCTAATTACTCCACCTGAACCTAACAAACGAAGGAGATCATCCAAGAGTCAGCCATTACCTACATTTGTTGCAGAACCAATCACCAAGTCAAACTCTTTCGTTGGGACTGAAGAATACATAGCTCCTGTACGGTGATGCACTTCATGTTTACCTCTTGAAATCTTCATCTTTAGCTAGGTTGCAGCTGCATCTTCAGTCTGTGTAAGATTTTTAGTAACGTGTCCATGGTTACTATAATTATTTCAGGAGATCATCACGGGTTCTGGTCATACGAGTGCTATAGATTGGTGGGCACTGGGTATATAACCTCCCATCATCTTTACCTAAGTATGACAACTTACGTCACAACCTCTTTTTTAATATGCTTATCTCCTTTTTGTATGGATGTATGTATGTGTTAGGTATCTTGTTGTATGAGATGCTTTATGGTCGCACACCATTCAGGGGTAAGAATAGGCAGAAGACATTTGCCAACATCTTGCACAAAGATCTTACTTTCCCCAGCAGTATCCCTGTGAGCTATCTATCTTGTAACAACCTGTGTGTCTCTAGAAAAGTACTAACCATGTATTGTATTGTGCAGGTAAGTCTTGTAGGTAGACAGTTGATCAACATGTTACTAAATAGAGATCCAAGAAGACGGTTAGGTACCAAAGGTGGAGCAAATGAGATAAAGCAGCATGCTTTCTTCCGCGGGATCAATTGGCCTCTCATACGGGACATGGTAGGACTAACTAATATATAGCTTTTATATATTAGCTCGTGTCACACACTTGTGTTTCTTGGCTAACATATGTAGAGTGGGTGCAGGACCCTCCACCATTGGATGCACCGTTGCGTATAATAGAGAAAGATCCAAAAGCTAAAGATATAAAGTGGGAAGATGATGGGGTGCTTGTGAACTCTATGGACATTGACATTGATCTCTTTTAAATACCAACACTTTCTGCCTTTGAATCTCATTTTAATGAAAAAAACTCTTCTTCTCAATAAAGCAAAGGTGTCGTATTCTCTAGTTGCTTACATGTATATAATGCATTCAGTCAATTTTACATTTCTTGTCTAAAATCTCCAAATCATCAACAAACAGAACATACATATTTTATGACCATGTTAGTACTGTCAAGTGTGATCTTATGCTATAAGAGAGTATCACACAATATTCCATTTCTGTCTCTAAATCATCTACAATAAAATACAACCTTTATAATCAAGTTAATATATGATTGTGCCGTTATGAGGGTGAAATGTCTTTGAGCAGTCCAACCACCTGCTGCATAGTGGGTCTCTTCCATGATAGATCAGCCGTGCACAAGTAGCCTATCTTCACAGCTTCTGCAATCTGCTCATCTGGACCTGTCCCTTGCAGTGTTGGATCTATGGCTCTAGATCCCTCTCCTTGCCTCACCAACCCTCTCACCCAATTCACCAAGTCCCATTCCGCCTTCTTCCCACTCACAAGCTCAAGCAGAACAACTCCAAAGCTGTACACATCTGATTCTAATGTAGGAGAGCCATCTTCTTCTTCCAGCTCTGTTGGTGTGTAGCCGTCTAAATCACCGAGAAATCCCTCGTTCAAGAGCTTGGCTAAACCAAATTCTGCTAGTTGAGGTTCTTGGCTAGAGTCTAAGAAGATTGTTCCAGCCTTCACTTCCCCATGCACCACCGGAGGAATGCAGCCATGATGGAGGAAAGCTAAGGCCCTAGCCGTCCCCAATGCTATCTTATGCCTGAGTATCCATGATGAAGAGTCATCCGTGGTGTGAAGTAAAGTATGCAAGTTAACACACTCTAGGTGCTCGTAGATCACTATTCTTTGCTCTGCAGCTATGCAGTATCCAGAGACCGGGACAAGATTCGGGTGATTGATCCTTGCAAGGCGTTCAAACGTAACCGAGGCTTCATCGTCACTCAACGTGGTTCCACTTGACACAACTTTCAAAGCTGCTCTAAATCCACCGGGTAAGACTGCTTCATAAGTAGGACCAGACTTACTTTCCCACAACAATGCCCCACTATCAAAGTTCAGAGTAGCAGCCTTAAGGTCTGCAAGTGTCATCTTCATCAAGGGCTTGTCAATCATCACAACAGGGACATCAGTTGATACACTCTGGTCTAACAAGTTTGGTTCCGCAGGTTGCTTTGTTGCCCATGTTCTTGATTTTCTCCTACCTCTCATTGCCACAAGTATAACCAACAGAGCAACAAGTAAGAAGGCCATTGAGATTGCTAAAGTCACACCAATCTTAAGCCCTGTCTTCTTCTTGCTCACGCTCACTCCCTTTTGAACATTTGGCTTTGCAGCAAAAGGGCAGTTGTTTGTGGCGCCAATGAAGGATGTCTGAATCATTACTTGCGACAAGTTGGGATCACAAAACGTTAGATTATTGAAAGAGAAGTTAAACCTCTGCAACATGGAGAGTTTCTCCAGAACCGTCCTTGGAATGTCTCCCTCTAGCTTGTTCAGAGAGAGATCAAGTACTTCAATGTTCTTGAGAGGTAACAAAGGTACATTCCCAGTGAGATTATTAAAGGAGAGATCAAGAACCTTCAAATAACTCAGCTTTGAGATTTCTCTAGGAATAAAACCTACCAGATTGGTTCTTGATAGATTCAGATAATACAAAGCTGAAAGCTTTGTAATAATTGGGAACTCTTGTGCCCTAAAACGATTAGACGCGAGGTTAAGGTATCCCAGCTTGTGAGCTGAACTCAAACCATTAACTATATGCCCCACAAAACCATTCTCAGACAAGTCAAGATGAACTAAACCAGACAAGTTGTGTTTATGTCCCGCTATTAAATGCAAAACATGCCCATCAAAACGGTTACCACTAAGATCAACCGTCTCCATGTTCCCATGCAAGACTCCACTCACTGTCCCCTCAAACATATTACGTGAAAGGTTCAACCTTTTCAGCTCTGGAAAAGCAGAACCAAACCTAATAGGCAGAAAACCCGTAAGCCGATTCGATGAGAGGTCGAGGGAGAGTAAAGATCTGCAGTTTAGAAGTCCCGTAGGGATTTCACCAGAGAAGGTGTTGAAAGAGAGATCAAGTGTCTGAAGCGAGACGAAGTTGCCTATGTTGCTGGGAAGAGAATCAGAAAACTTGTTGGAAGAGAGGTTGAGATGCTTGAGGGAGTCAAGACTCCAGAGGTCTGAGGGTAAAGATGTAATCTTGTTCTTGCTGAGATCTAAAGTTTGGAGCTTTTTCATTTTGCCGATGGTGTTATCCGGGATGGGACCGGATAGGTCTGACCCAGAAGCAGAGAAGTGGAGAACGTTCTGTTTTTGTTTGTCGCAGACCACTCCTGGTGAGGCACATAAGGAAGAGAATGTGTAACCTTTGTGTGAAGAAGAACTCATTTGGTTGAAGAAGTTAGAGAGGTAAGAGGCGTCTGTGTTGGGATCTTGGCTCTTTAGTTGTTTGAAGAAGAGGGAGAGGAGCATGAGAGTTCTCCATATATTACATAACAAGCCCATGTTTTTTGGAAGGTGTCTGGAGAGGTGGGGGATGATGATGATGATCTCAGATTCTCAGAAAGAAGTTAAAAGACATAATGTTATCACGAGGTGGAGAGATGTGATGATAGTATGGAATACATTTTGAGATCCCTTTTCACGTGAAGAGTTTCAAAAAAAAAACAGAAGAAGATAAGGGTTGAAAAAGGTTTTTGGGGAGAGTTCAGAGTGAGTTTGGTTGTATCCTCCTATAGAGAGGAGAGAGAGAGAGTCTTTGAAAGTCAAAAAAAAAGATTTGTAATTAGGTAAAGTTTTTTCTTTTTGGTGGTGAGTTAATGGAATCAGACTCAGACTTTTTGTGAGAGTTGAGAGTTTCAAATTCCAAAGTTGTCAAATGGATTTGGTGGAGTGGGAGAGTGGGTGGTTGTGGTTTCTCATTTCTGCAGGAGGATTTGGTGGGTACTCTCTCTCTCTCTCTCTAGTGTTTAAAAATATCACACTTTTTTCAGTGGTTTCACACCTTTTATTTTGACTCTGTCACGCCCTCCCTTGGAATCATTCATGATTCATCTCATTAGTCTCTAAACTAACGCCTAAACATGCGCCAAATAAGAAAGTAGTTACTAACTAACAGAACAGAGTTCATTTACTGAGTAAAAATAGCCAAACTTACTATTTTAAGTAAAAACTTTATGCCAAAACAGATTTTTACCAGTTAGTTAGTAGCCCTCGTTTTGTTAAAGTTTAAAGTCTGAAAGTTCAAAGCTACTACACCGCCATTAGATAATTTTGAAGCAAAGAAACAGTGCAAGATCGAAACAGAGCAGAACAAAGCAGAGGGAGGACTTTGAGTTTTGCTATTTTGCGTAAGTGGGCCTCATAACGAGCCTAAATGAAAAGCCCATTAACATGAACATGCCCAGAGAGATCAATGTCGGTTTAGGAAATCGTGGGAAATCGAGGTATCGTGAAGTCCACGTCATAAAAGGCGCCAAGTAACTGACCGTATGTCCCAGCTAAGTGCTCTTTTGGACAAGGTATACAAAAACATATATATACGTAGCATAGTGTGAAACAAAGGTGTTTCAAAAGATGTGTTGAAGCTAGCTAGTGGTTGTAAATTGCAGTGGTGACGACACTTTTAAACTTTGTAAGACTGTTCAATCGTGCGCATGAACAAATCGGAAAAAAAAAAATTGAGGCCTTGAGGCGGAAGCTAGGAAAAAGGCTGAAGAGGAGAAATAGAAAACAGGTGGGTTAGATTAAGAAATGAAGGATGGGAAGAAACCGCTGCATGAAACAGTCTAGGACTGGACTGGACCAGTGAAGAAGGTGAATGGAATGTTAAGGCAGTTTTAATCTTCATTTAACTTGTCATCTAACAGCAGAGCTAAATTGTAAAATAGGCAGGGGTAAACATTATTGTAATTAGCAAGCAATAAACACACAAATACACTAGGTTGCATGGAAGCTTCGGAAGGAAACGGAAGCTTGTGGAATCTCTCAGAATCTCGATTCCATTGTGCTTCCAAAAAACCATTTTTAAAAACACATCGGAAGCTTATGATTCTATTTTGGAATCACGATTCCGTTTTAAAAGATTCAATATCACAAGTAAATAAAAATATAAAAACATTATTTTTGTTTTTATATAATAGTGAAAAAGAGAATAAAAATATACAAATATTAAAACTAATATTATAAATTATCTTTATACATTGATGATTTATTAAAGATACATCATATATATTTAAATAGATCGTGTTAATTATTTACGAAATATTAAAAAAATAATTAGTATAATAATATCTTATAAACTTAATTTATGTATATTTTCACGGTTTTAACATAAAATCCTTTAAAATTATTTTAAATGAATAAATGTTTTATTTTAAATTTGACTCTAATAATTTCTAGTCATATTTGTATTTTTTTAGTATTTTAAAATGTATATATATACATTATAAATATACGCTTCCAACACGTTTCCGCTTTCTAAGTTTTTAAAAAATCTCGCTTCTACGCTTCCATATGATTCCACTTCCGCGTATCCGCTAACATAGAAATACATCACACATGTCTGGTCTAATCTCTTATTGGGGGTTTAGCTGGCTGCAATTTATAAAACAGTGCAAGAGGCAAACTGGCTTCTGTTTTAAAAAAAAAATACATCACACATTTCTTTTTTGTTTTTTTTTCTTTTCTTTTAAAAAAAAAGAAAATCAATAGCGGACCGCCACGTGACATGGAGTCCGTAAAAAAATTGTGAAACGGGTTCATCCGAAAGGGAAGGGACAGCACGAGTTTATTACTGTTGGATTTTTTAATATTTTTTTCTCCTTGAAATACGTGTGAACCTGTGTCATGAGCCTTTGATACTCATGCTCTAAGGGGAGCAAACTGTTGAAACTCAACTAATAAAGCAAGATATATTACAAATTTATGCCTAAATTTGATTCGAACCTAAGAAGAATTTAGTAACAAAAAAAGCTCGTCGTCCCTTGTGTCAACGCGCGAAAAGAGAAAAAGGCGAAACGACGCAAGTGGTGCGAAATGTAGTGATTGGTTGGGGGGGACATTGAAACACAAACCGCCTTGAAAAAACGAATCCTTAAATATAAGAGGGCCCACAACAGTGACGCAAAGAAGTCTCTTTTAAAAAAAGAAAAACCTTTTCCGATCTCTCTCTCTGTCTCAGATCTCTTCTTCCTTCTTCTTCTTCAATGGATAATCCCGCTTCTTCTTCCAGACAACATCAGCGCAACCAAATCGCTTCTTCTGGTACACTCTTCTCTTCCCCTTCATCTCTCTCTCTCGCGGTGAACAAAATCCCTAATTGGAATCAAACCCTAGAGACCAGCATAAAGCCGTTAATTAACTCCAAAATTGTTCGTTAACTGTTATTTTTAACTTCTCTCGCAGAGGAAAAACCGGTGATGCCGGGCAATGTCGTCGTCCACCAGCAGATTTCTCCCGTAGATCAAACGATCGTCTCTTCTTCTTCTTCCGTTGGTCATTCTCACTATTATAACGTCCCCGTGCAAAACCCTACCAATCTCTATCCTTACGAGTGGAATGTTGCACATTCTGGTAATTATGTCTTTCTCTTTTTCTAAATCCTATGTGATTAATAAAACACATATTCGATACTGTGAGTGCTAATTTTTGCATTATTTTGATATTTTAGGTTATGTTCAAGGCATCAATAGTTGGGATGGGTACCATCCAGTTTATGCTACTTCCCCTGAATCCCTGCATGTTCCACAGGTTAGTTTGACTTTCTGTTTTATATGTTTTCAAATTTTGCTCTGTTTCTTACATTATCTCTCTTTTTTTTTTTATCAGGTTGTCTACGGTGAAGATTCGTCTTTTATGTACCAACCTGGTTTTGCTTACAACCCTTATCCGTCTATGACGTTGGAGGGTCAAATCCCATTCTCCTCAGCGTATTACCCACAGTTTGGCAACGACCCAACATCTGCTTATATGATTCCTTTTGGGGGATATGGGGGAGAGAATTTATCTGGTTATCAAGGGGCCAACTACTCTTTAACATATCCTCAAACGATGGGTATACTTGGCCCATACGACCACAATGCTTCACAGGTTATAACTCTTTTCTATTTGCCTGTTTTGTTAAAATAATTTTATGTGGCTAATGTACACAGCCTTTGTTTAGTTTGGTTAGGTGAAGGTTTATTTTGTTGCATTAAAAGTGTCACTGATTATTAGTTTCACTAACGCGTTTCTGTGAGCTAATCTCCTTTGTTTCTTCCCCTGCTACATTGTGAATATATTCAAACACACAATCTAGAAATACCAGAGAATTTTTGTTGTCCAATGTTCATATTCTGTTTTTGGCGCTCAGTCTTTTGTTTGTTTCTTCCATTTAAAGGTTTCAGAGAAAGGCAGTTTTGGCATACTCATTAGATTTAAATTAGTTAACAGTTCTATGGGCTTATCACTTTTTTTTTGTGTTGGTACCTTTTATCTTGTTACAGTTTCATGGGAATGTGGTTGCTTCAAGCTCTTCTATGGGAGGATATCAACATGTAGGATCTTACCACAGTCCAGGCTCTAATCCCTCATATTATGGAGTTGATAAACCAGTCAGATTAGCTTCTGACGTAGGTAAACGGCGAGAAAAAGAGTACAGTTCTTTTCCTACCACCAGTGATCTCTATGGTAATCGAGGACCAAGAGCTTTTAACAAAATAAAGAGCAAGAACGGTTCTAAGCTTGATTCTTCTGCTGGTGATTCAATAATGGATTCAAGCACAGCTGGACCAAACCCCAGTTTGTACAACCATCCAGAATTTGTGACCGATTATAAGAATGCCAGATTCTTTATCGTCAAGTCTTTTAGTGAAGACAATGTTCACAGAAGTATCAAGTATAATGTCTGGGCCAGCACGCCACATGGCAACAAGAAGCTAGATATTGCTTATCGAGATGCTGAGAAGATGGGTGGAAATTGTCCAATCTTTCTCTTATTTTCGGTATAGCATTTGATAATATTATCTATAGTTCTATATATAGCAATAGGATAAAAATCCTCCTCTTGATTCAAGGGAACAATAAGCTTTTTTAACAGAGTTTGAATGTTTCAGGTAAATGCTAGTGGACAGTTCTGTGGGGTGGCGGAAATGGTTGGACCTGTAGATTTTGAAAAGGATGCTGCTTACTGGCAGCAAGACAGGTGGAGTGGGCAGTTCCCAGTGAGATGGCATCTTGTGAAAGATGTACCGAATAACCGGTTTAGTCATATTCTTTTACAAAACAATGAAGACAAGCCGGTGACACACAGCCGAGACTCTCAGGAGGTGTGCATTTACTTATGTCGTAACCTTTGCATGTGTTGTCTTATGAACATTCATTTCACCTTCTGTCTAGATTGCCATTTATGAATATTGTGTGAAGAAAGTTTGTAGGCGGAAGTGACTTAGTTGATTGTGAATTATTGTAACAGGTGAAGCTACGTCAAGGGATCGAGATGCTGAGAATATTCAAAGAATACGAAGCACACACATCAATACTGGATGATTTCAACTACTATGATGAAAGAGAGAGTCAGAAGGTGAGAGAAGATGGAGGGAGGAAAGAAGAGACCTCTTGCGTGGAACAGTTATCAGAACGTCTTCAAGCTGTCACAGTAGAAGATGGAAAGGAAGGGTTACAAGAAGACTTGAAAGAGAAAACTTGATGATGAGTGATTGATGCAGGAGTAGTAGTAAGTAGAAGCATTCTTTTTGTAAACAAGGGTGGTTTTCTGTTTCTGTTTTCAGGGTGTGGAGCTGTATACTAAAAAAGAGTACAGATTCAACTCCTTGTGCTTTTGTAGCATTATGCGTTTTTTTTTCCATCAATGAATAGCTTAGCTATCTCTACATCTCTATTGCTATCAGATTCAGCATTTGTATCTGAAGATAACTAAGATAAGCCCCCATTTAACCATCTAAGTTTTTTTTTTTTTTTTTGGGCAAACCATCTAAGTTTTGTACTTGATTTGCTTGAGCATATAATTTTTGGGACAAATGGCTACAAGTACAACAATTATAAAACGGCTTCGTATGGGTTGTTTTTTTTTGGTGTGGGTCCATCATAATAAAATATAAATTTTACTTTACCGGCACGCAAAATAGAGACAGTTCGATTGGGCCATATGAAAAAGCCCATTTAACCATCTAAATCTATTTACGAAAATAAAATTAAATTTGCCTTGGAAAGTAAAAAAAAGCGAAATCGAACCGAACCCTACTTGTTGTCCACTTCCTCGCTCTTCGCCGTGGTTTTAGTGTCTCTCTTAAACCCCTGCAAGCTTCTTTGGTTTCCAACGGTGGTGAGATTTATTCCTTTCTCGACGTAAGTCTCTTAACATCTCTCTTTTGAAGTATGTAAAGCTCAGATCCTCATATGATTAATTAAAGAAACTGAAACTATACTTAGATCAGTCGTTATAATAATAATCGCAAAAGCACTGTAGAAGAATCTCACTCCAAGTTTTCTTTCTCATGTTTAGGAATTAGAAGCCAGCTATGAACTTGTTACCTGGATTTGATCGCGTTGACGTACACGTGTCACAGTCTCTATCTTCGTAAAACGACCGAGAGTGTGCAGTGATGATTCTGAAGCAGCTGAAACAACTCACCTGTAACATTAGCTATAACCCTTCTCTTACCATCTCATTTGTTTTTGTTAAATGTGTTAGACTGATTTATGTTTGTTTGCCCTCTCGATGTCTTTTGTTGCAATTGCAGTGTCTGCTACGCGCAGAAATGCTCATCTTTTGAGGATTCCAAGGCTCTACAGCTCTCCTGCTGTTTCTCAATCTTTAACAACCTCCAAGCCTTCTAAAAGACTATCAAAAGATGATCGACGAGTTGTGGTTGAGTCTTTTGTCACCAAGTAAATTCCTTTTTCTGATTGTTTATTATGGCTTCTCTTATTATACATGTCTACTTGACTAGTTGATATCTATATGCAGATACAGAGCAGCTAATGCTGGGAAGTTCCCTACATTGAAAGCTACTGTCAAGGAAGTGGGAGGTGGTTATTACGTTGTCAGAGATATTTATCAAGAGCTTAAACTCAGACCAAATGCACCAGTCTCACGAGTTCCTGCTTCTGCTGCAAATGATGATGCTTCCTCACTGAAGCAGGATCATACCATAGAGTCTTCTCATCCTAGTTCTGATGAAGTTAGTATCCAGGGAGACAACAATCTTGTCATTACTGCGACACATGATAGAAGTGAGACCGAGGCAGCTTCTCTGGACAAAGATGTTGATAGTAAATGTGATAGCGATACTCAACTTCCCGAAAGTCAACCGTTGATGGTATCAGAGGAATTTTTAAAGAACTCAGAGACTGAGGAAGATGGAACATTGGATCACTTAGAGGCAAAATCAGACAATCCTGAAGGAGTCACTGTTTTGCCTACTGAGACCACGTATCAATATAATGTCACCACTGCAACACATGACAAAAGAGAAACCGAGACAGATAGCAAAGACGTTGTCAGTAAATGTGATAGCGATGCCCAACTTCCAGAAAATCAAACGTTGAAGGTAGCAGAGGAGTGTCTAAAGAACTCTGAGCCTAAGGATGAGGGAACATTGACGCAGTTAGTTAGTCCAGAGACAAAAGCAGGCCATCTTGAAGGTGCCAGTGTTTTGCCTGCAACACATGAAAACATAGAAACGGAGACAGCTGCTCCTAACGATGATACTGACAGTAAATGTGATGCCACTACTCATCTTCCCGGCAGTCAACCCTTGATGCTTTCAGAGGAGGAATGTCTAAAGAATTCAGAGAGTAAGGAAGAAGGAAAACTGGCGCACTTAGGTAGCCAAGAGCCAAAAGCAGACCAAATTGAAGGAGCTGTAGATTCAGCCAATGTTTTGCCTAGTGAGACCAGGTATCATGTGCATAAAACTAGGCCTCTCCCTAGCTGGTTGGATACTTACAGTTTTAGTTCATGTGATGGGTTCTTAGTAGAGACAAATCATTTCAAGCCGATCATATTGGCATATCGTCACTTTGAATACTTATATGTACGTTCTTTTTGCAGACAAGTTGCAGAGAAAGGGGATGGTGAGGTCAAACCAGAAGAAAATTCAAGTGCTTGGAGCAATATAATTTCATTTGCGAAAGGATTTGCTAACTTTTGGAGGAAAGGGTAGATATCATCAAGGAGGTGCAGTAGCTACTTTAGTGCAGAACAACTTAAGAAACCGCTTGTTACTTTTGACCATTTTGTAGAGGCTATATGTTTTGTGGTAGACCGTTTTGTTAGAAAGTCGGTTCAGCAAGGTCAGAATACCAAAAGAAATATACAAAGATTTTATCAGAAATGCAATTCAAGTGCATTCAAGTGTTCTCAAGCTTATTCTACATGTCCCCCCTGGCTTCAAAGCTTCAACCAAAGCAAGATGGAAGTCTATTAGATGGGCCTTTAATGGACCTTTTAACAATTATTGGGCTTTGACTAAAAACCCTATTGGGCTTTTTTAACAAGCCGTTAAATCTCTTTCTCTTATTCACTTCATCTTTAAAACACACACAAAAACAGAAACCTGTAGTTTCCACCAATTCATTCAGACAAAGAACCGATCTCTCTCTTCTGTTTTAGGGTTTCGCCATCATGGGCAAAGACGAAGAAGAAATGCGAGGAGAGATCGAAGAGAGACTAATCAACGAAGAGTACAAGATCTGGAAGAAAAACACACCTTTCCTCTACGACCTCGTCATCACTCACGCTCTCGAGTGGCCTTCCCTCACCGTCGAATGGCTCCCCGACCGTGAAGAGCCTCCCGGTAAAGACCACTCCGTCCAGAAGATGATCCTCGGCACACACACTTCCGAGAACGAACCCAATTACCTCATGATAGCTCAGGTCCAGCTTCCCCTTGACGACACTGAGAGCGAAGCTCGTCAATACGACGACGAACGGTCTGAGTTTGGTGGGTTTGGCTCAGCCACCGGAAAGGTTGGGACTTTATTAGGTTTTAGAGTTTCTTTGAGTTGGATTAGTATTAAAGTTGATTACTTTTTGTGTTTGTTGTGTAGGTGCAAATTATTCAGCAGATAAATCATGAAGGGGAAGTGAACAGAGCTCGGTACATGCCTCAGAATCCTTTTGTGATTGCTACTAAGACGGTTAATGCGGAGGTGTATGTGTTTGATTATAGTAAGCATCCATCTAAGCCACCGCTTGATGGAGCTTGTAATCCTGATTTGAGGCTTAGGGGTCATAGCTCTGAGGGGTATGGGTTGTCTTGGAGTAAGTTTAAGCCGGGGTATTTGCTTAGTGGCTCTGATGATGCTCAAATCTGTTTGTGGGATGTTAATGCTACTCCTAAAAATAAGGTTATTGATGCTCAGCAGATCTTTAAGGTGAGGCTTTGAAAGCTTATGATAGTTTATAGATTGGTGTTAAGTGTGATTCAATGTGTTTTCGTTACTGATTAGTTGTTTGATTTAAGTCTCATGAAGGGGTGGTGGAAGATGTTGCATGGCATATGAGTCATGAACACCTGTTTGGATCAGTTGGAGATGATCAGTACCTTCTTATATGGGATCTGCGTTCTCCATCTGCTAGTAAACCAATACAGTCTGTGGTTGCTCACTCCATGGAGGTGTGTTTTCAATATACTGACTTTTAATACCCTAAGGGACTAGTCTGCGTGGTCCACATCTTATCTCATTAGTGTCCTGGTCTTTTTCGTTAACAAGCTTGTTTCTCTAGATACAAAAGGCCATTAAATGAATCATGTATTTACTGATTGTTGGGTTGTTTTGAAATGCCTCAGGTTAACTGCTTAGCCTTCAATCCAATCAATGAGTGGGTTGTGGCAACAGGGTCAACTGATAAGACTGTTAAATTATTCGATCTACGGAAGCTAACCAGCGCTCTTCACACATTTGATAGCCATAAGTGAGAACATTTTACTTTGAGACATATTATCTGTTACTAAAAACTATTTTGCTAAAATAGACGCAGCATTGCTAACCGATAATGTTTGCTTTGATCACCAGAGAGGAGGTTTTCCAAGTTGGCTGGAACCCGAAGAACGAGACTATCTTAGCCTCATGTTGCCTTGGTAGAAGGCTTATGGTTTGGGATCTTAGCAGGTTTGAGCAGTAGACTTCGTTGCTTGGCTTCTTGTGTTCCTCATGAAGGAGTAATATTAATGTGTTTGAGGGTGTCTTATGACAGGATCGATGAGGAACAGACAGCAGAGGATGCAGAGGACGGTCCACCGGAGCTGCTGTTTATCCATGGTGGTCACACCAGCAAAATATCAGATTTCTCGTGGAACCCATGTGAAGATTGGGTTATATCCAGTGTAGCTGAGGACAACATACTCCAAATATGGCAGATGGCTGAGAACATCTATCATGACGAGGATGATGCTCCAGGGGAAGAACCAATAAAAGGTTCTTAGCTTATTGTTAGGTTTCCTATCTTATGTAACATTAATTTTCTTTTATACATCTCTGCTGATTTGTTCCAAGTATTTAGTGAGCTGTGTAAAACAAGACATGAGCTGAGTTTATACTCTCTTTCTTTCACTCCGCACTTCCCTTACATCTGTAGAAAGCAATTTGTCTTGAATTGAAGTCTCCGTCTCTAACGTCAACCTCAAAACTGTGGGATGCTTGTCACAATGGTCTTATGACTTATCAAAATACTTCAAAGCCACATAGCGTTGCTTATAACTAGCGATCGAAAAGAAACATGTAGCCTCGTCAGCCATCTCGTCTGCTTCAGTTCCTTGTCTATCATCAATCTGCAACAGGGTACCACCACCAAGCCGCTTAAGTTTTATGAATGAAATGGGTGCAGGGAGAGAGCACTAAGTCCTACTTCCTTGTCGTAAACGGCATATTCATGCTTGACTAAGAGCACTTTCAGGAGCAACTGTTTGAACGTCTACGGAGAACGTGACAAGGAGCAAGACTTCTGACTCGTCATTGAGCCTAAGTTCCTCGACAAGTTCTCCAAACTCACTCAAAGACTTCGTCGTCCTACTGTCGCTCTTGATTCCACCAATGGCCCTTGGATCACGTAAGAGACCCTTCTAATCCTGAGGTCTCTTTCTTTACAAAGTTTTTGTTCCTCTCCCAGACACATGTTTGTGTTATGACAGGTTTATGAAGTTGAGATTGGATCGAGGACTAGCTAAATTGTTTGAAGCTACCTCTCTGGATGAAGCCTTGGCCTCCAGTTCCAGTCCCACCACTCTAAAGTTCGATCAGCCTGAGAATTCGGTGGCGCCATACCCAGAGTATGAATCTGGATGGTGGGACACCTTCTTGCCCAAAGCAAAACAAGAATCTCTTGTATAGAACTTTGTCTCTTTTTTTTTTGTCATTTGTCAGAATCCAGCAGCTTTGTCTTAGTGCTTTCTAGTTGTATTACTGAGCTTCTTGTGTTACCGTGTACTCCAAACATGTATGCAACTCATTTGAGTCTAGTGAACAGAATTGATTAAAGGCATGTTTCTACTTGGTGAGGTACACATGTTTCTGATCAGTGGTTCTGAGTTCTATCTCTTGAGGAAGGATCCCATCAATTTTTACTAATTCATTCGTGAGTTGTATAACTAATCAGAGTGGAGACTGTACTTTAACTACTCCGTGTGGGGATAAAAGGGTCTGTATAATTACCAAGTGAAGATGCACAGATTTCAAATTTTACAATGTGATAAATATTACTTCCCTTGCAGGATAACTATACATGGTAAGCTCCATTGGTGAAGTTACTCTTGTGCAGCTAGTTCTGCAATTTCTGCAAGGGGCTTCCACATGAACTTTCTCCTGCAAGAAAATGATTTAATGATCATGCAACGTGCAGCCATAGATTACTGATTATATAAAAAAAGGGGTGATAAGCTTACCAGTTGCCACATTCAGCAACAACCCTGACATTAGGACGGAGAGAAGGAAGCAAAGCTAGAAACTGGAGCTCAGACTTTGATAGGACCTGATTTGTTGATAAGATAAAGGTAAGATGTAGCAGACAAGACAAATAACAAGACAAGACAAATCAAATGAGAGAACACACAAACCTTTGCTTCAATGACCCAGACGACAAGTCCCTTGGCACTAGGAGGAAGAGCAGAGAGCCTGTAGTCAACTTCTGGTGGATAGTACCACCTTGCTATAGGTTGTTTCCCAAGGTGAGCCTAATAGAAATATAGAAGACAACAAGGTTCAAAATACTAAAACATCAAAACAAGAAGATAGATAAAAGGAGACAAACAGACATACAGGGCAAACAGGGTAAGCGTTAAGGAGCGTGGTCTCAGGGTCACCAAGTCCTCGAGCAGAGATGTCAAGAAAGTAGTAGCCTTGTTCTTTAAGACGGTTAAGATACCGACCTTCGTATCCACCCTCGTGAGGAGTGTAGATAGCTATAGCCTTGTGCTTTTCCACATCATCAAGCCAACGACCGATGTCTGGCTTCACCAAGTCTCCTCCGATGAAGTCAACGAGGCTGCACCTCACGCCACTGCTTCTTCTCTTCCTGCTTCTAATAATATTCACAGAAAAGGGCTTTACTGTTTTGCTCTTATTCACTTGGGAGGGTTGGAAACACGGTGGTGCCACACGTTGAATGCATACTGAATGGCTTGCCATTTTCTTACTAGCAATGGTATGTTTGAGTGGCGCGTATTAACCATTACTTGATGAGGACGATTGTGATGAGGAAAGAATGGTGGAGAAATGATCACTCACACGCCTAGGGGTAGACCTTAATGGGCTTCTCAACTATTAGGCTTTGATTGTTAGGCCCTTATTTTTTTTTTGAATAAATGTAAAATTGTATTCATCAAAAAGCTGTTTTACAAATGATGTAACAGTGAAATAGAATGTTAATAATAAACAATTTACTAAGAGAATATTATCTTGATTCAAACCAAATTTTAAGCCTTTCATCCATCTTGTGATCTACTTCGCGTTTTATAGTAGAAAGTTTGTTTCTGATATTCTTATCAATGGTCTTTTGCAGCAGAGTGTATATAAAAGCTATTTTTCTCCATATCTCCTATTTCTTTCTCACCAAATAGTATGCGCTGCATCTTGAAATGTGTATCTTAACAAGAACAATTTTACATGATCCTGTCTACCATAGAGTAACTATATCTCTGCATTCCTCTGTATATATCTAGATTGGAGTAGACCTCTTATAAATTTCTGCATAATTGACTTGAATATGTACAAGAGAAAAAATAGATTATTCCTTGTCTCCACGCTTTATTGGCAGCACATGTTGATAATCTATCTCTCATTGCTGTCCATATGTTAGACCCATTTATCATAACTGGTCAGCTAATCTCTTATTCTCGATTAATTTATACAATTCAACATTCTCTTGGAAATTGAATTCCAAACCTGTTAGTGTAAACACATTAATATACTTTTAGTTAAACCATTGGCCTGCCACATACTGAAGAAATTTTATTACTAAGCCGAATCATATCAATCCAGATCAAACAGGTTTCAGTAGTCTTCGGTAGAAACCGGTTATACCCAGAAAATACAGGATTTGTATAAAATTTGACTTGGTAGTTTAAATAATTTAAATAAAATTTGACTAATTTAAGTTAAAACCGAATAAATTATTTAAATAATTTTGAATAATTTTAAATAATTCATTTTCTATTTCTATTAAACTAAAATTTAAATTTATAGATTTTTTTTTATATTTTTGAAGATAATTAATAAATTTTCGGAAATTACGAATATAGAAATATATAGAACCGGTATTTGTTAAATTTCTATTTCTATTTTTTTTTCGGTTTGGTTATACGCTGCAAATAGCTCTCTAGGTGCGACTTGTGAGAGAGAGAATCAGACACGGAAGATATCGCTGGAGCAAACTGTCTGAAAAAACACTTTCATTCGAAGAGAAAGGATGTCGAGGGGATCTCGGCTCCTTAGGGCACCTAGCCTCCTACTCCGTCACGCTTGTCTTCGCACTCATCCAAAGCCCCCATCTTTCTTATACCCTCTTCGCTCCGATTACTTCCTCCACCATCATGGCATCTCCTCCTTCACCAGACGTAACTCAATCAACGCCTTCCTCTCTGATCCTTCCCCATCCCAACCCCCATCCCCTATTCGTTTCGTTCAACGAAGCTCCACGGTTAACGGCCGTCTCCTCTTCTCAACTTCCCCTCCCAAACCGGACAAAGACTCCACCGATAAGCCGAAGCAAATTAAGACTGTGTCCTCGTCCGAACCGAATTCGGATATGGCTGATATGAAGATTCTCCGTACCCTTGCGGGTTACTTGTGGATGAGAGATAATCCTGAGTTTCGGTTTAGGGTGGTTACTGCGTTGGGGTTTTTGGTGGGTGCTAAGGTGTTGAATGTTCAGGTTCCGTTTCTTTTTAAATTGGCTGTTGATTGGTTGGCTTCGGAGACTGGGAGTGGTGCTTCTATGGCTACTTTTGTGGCTGCGAATCCTTCTCTTGTTGCTGCTTTTGCTACTCCTTCTGCTGTTCTTGTTGGGTATGGGATTGCTAGGACTGGGTCTTCTGCTTTTAATGGTAATTTCCTCTGAATAGTAGCTCTGTTATTGAAAAAGGATGGACCTTTCACTCTTTTTTTTTGCTACTTTTTGTTATTGCAGAACTTCGTACTGCTGTTTTCTCTAAAGTAGCGCTACGGACAATACGATCAGTTTCTAGAAAGGTGTGTTCTTGATTCTCTTAGCAACCTAGTTGATGCTTTATTTGTGGTACTAATCCTTTGCCTGTAGGTGTTCTCGCATTTACATGATCTTGACCTTCGTTACCACCTGAGGTATATCTGTCTCTCCTCTCCTACCCTTGTGCGTAACAGTCTATTTCATCACGTTCATAACTTTCTTACTTTGTTGCTCTTGTCCAGTCGAGAAACAGGTGGTTTGAACAGAATTATTGATCGTGGTAGCCGTGCAATAAACTTTATCCTCTCAGCTATGGTTTTCAATGTTGTTCCTACCATTTTGGAGGTAAAGCTTATCTCACCTTTTGGTTCTTTATCGTGGAGTTTTCTCATTTTTGAGTAATTGCTATTCGTTCCAGTTTGGATTATTACTACTTTGTCTGTAATAACAGTCGACGTAATTAATATGTATCTTTCAGATATCTATGGTATCAGGTATACTAGCATACAAGTTTGGAGCTGCTTTTGCCTGGATTACCTCTCTTTCTGTTGGTGCATATATCTTTTTCACCTTAGCTGTGACACAGGTACTGTACATTCTTCACCATATTCCTATGATGCAAGACTTGCGTTTTGTCACAATAATCCAGCACTGGCTGTTGTAATCTGCTTAAGAACTTGAACTCTCTGATCTTAATTTGCATTAACACTTTGTACCGGCTCAAAAATCATTTGAACTATGATAGGTTGGAAATTTTTGTAGAAGGATGATTGCCTTTTTATATTATATTCATCTGTCATTATCTTGTTACAAACCCTTTTCGGTGTCAGATCTTATGCTCACGTTTCATTTATTTATCCAGTGGCGAACCAAGTTTAGAAAGGCTATGAACAAAGCTGATAATGATGCTAGCACGAGGGCCATTGATTCTCTGATAAATTATGAGGTAAATTTTCATTCTTCTGAAAGTAATATTTGCCTGAATAACAGTTTTGACAGAATCTCTGTTTCGTTTCAGACGGTTAAGTATTTTAACAATGAAGGTTATGAGGCTGAAAAGTATGACAAGTTCCTGAAAAGTAAGTAACTGTACTAACTGTTTTAGCATGATTAAAATAAAAAAAAAACTATCTTGATTTTCACAGAATCCTCCAATTTTGTCTTTAGCAAAGTATTCTTTTGCACTAGTAAGAAAACATATTGATGCGTATATTATACCATATAAGTCCATTCACCTTAATCTGTTTTGTGATGATTCTGCTGCTTATATCAGGATATGAAGATGCTGCCCTGCAAACTCAAAGAAGTCTTGCTTTCTTAAACTTTGGGCAAAGTATCATATTTAGTACTGCTCTTTCAACAGCAATGGTGTTGTGCTCTCAGGGTATCTTGAATGGCCAGATGACAGTCGGTGACTTGGTCAGTCCCTCCTTTAGTTTTGTCTCTCTACTGCAATTTTATGTTTCCATTAAGTTCCTTCTGCATCTTTCGACGTTAATTGTCATCTAATAAGTTTTTTTCCATGTTTTGGCGTTGCAGGTTATGGTGAATGGACTTCTCTTTCAGTTGTCCCTTCCTCTAAACTTCTTGGGTAGCGTTTACCGTGAAACCATTCAAAGCCTTATAGACATGAAATCAATGTTCCAATTGTTAGAGGTATATAAGGATGTTATAAGTGTTGAATGATATTCATATGCATACTGTTTCTGCCATGTTGAAATCATAATTTGGTATTCTCTTACTGCTCAGGAAAAATCTGACATCAGAAATATAGATGACGCAAAGCCTCTTGTTCTGAAAGGTGGAAACATTGAGTTTGA